CTTCTAATATTAAACCATGCAGTACTTACAAGACAAGTCTAATACCAAAAGGTTCTCAAGTCCCTTTTTCAACACTCGGACTGGTGCTGTCATCCTGCGAAGGCCTGCATCTGATAAAGAGTTGTCTTTCAGGAGAAGCTGTTTTACACTGGGAGGAGAGATATAAACAGATGGTTTTTAGTCATTAGATTAGACAGTTTTGCAAAATGTCCTAAAACTCTGTGCCAACCCTGCAGTCTTCTTTGATAATGATAGTAAAAAGTAATAAGAAAAAAGCTTGAGTTAGCAGGACTGATAAATACCTTTATATTGCCTCTGCTAGCTCAACAGAAGCACTTACATGACCAGCTATTCCCAGAGCTCAGGGACAAACTGATCCTAGCACACAAGCATTTGCTTAAAGAGACAATAAGGTTCTTTATACACTCAAATTCTTTAAACCAAGGCTGCCAACCTCAAATCCACTCAAAACTACAAACAGAAAAATGCGTGGCAAAATGGGAGACAGATTTGGGAAGAGATACAGCAATGATTTTTAAGTAAGCAGTAAGGTATTATGATACAGACGAACAAAAACTGGGAAAAACAACACTAGTATGTTCTCCAAAGAACTTCAAGGCAAAATCTTAATGCAAAATGCACAAAAATCTTATGGTAACATAGCATCTCCTAATCAGCAGTCATCCTGCCTATTGATTTCCATTAATTGTCTACTTTTCAATCTATTAACTAAATATTCAACCGCCTGCCTGTGGAAATCTTCATCCGGAACATGGTTTGGGTAAAACTTTGGCTGATAAAGTTCCCTCTTAAGAAAAGGAAATAAAAGTGTAAAACTGTTCCAAATATTTAAGATGGAGCTTTCACCTGGCCAATGGAAGTGATAAAAAGTTGATTTAAAACCATGAAACAATTGCATGTTTGTAGGACCTTTTACAGCTCAGTATGTGCTTTCTGTACAACAGATTCTGTAGTCTGGTTACCTCAGGAACAGGCTTTATGAACCAGAATCTTTAAACTCATACACTGCTGCCTGTGAAACTTCCCTTTAAAGCCACAGCCTGATTCTTTGAACTGCTCAGCGACAGGAAAAGACAGTGTAATTTTTAGATGTGTCAAGAAGTCGGTACCTAGACAGAGCCTCTTTGGTGAGATGTTCCAGCAGCTCGTGTTCATCTCCAAGTTTACAACAGGAGAGATCCAAACATGTCAGCTCACGGAAAGACTTAATTTCTTCTAGCTTTTCAGAGATAACCAGGTATCTGCAGAGAGGAAAAAACCCCAAAGCTATCAGCGTTCAGGCACATAAGAAGGCACCTACATCCTCAAGTGTCGCAAGCATAATGCAGTCATTTCTACTAAGTACCTGTGTGGAAAGTCATAGAAATTACCCTGTTCTCCTACCTGTTTATGCGCAGCCTGCACACAACACATCTGAATTCCCAATCTTCCCCTTGAACAAATGTCATTGTTTTGCTTTGATTCAAAATATTGGCCTAGCAATTAAGACTTCAATTTGCAAACATCACCATTAGGGACTTCTTTACAGATTATTGTTGTATTATTTTAGAACCATGCAAAATCTATAGTCTAATTTACCGTAAATCAATTTCACAAACTGCTCTTCCTCAGTATTTAGCAAGTGTGTAAACAAACCCACATTCATCCAGGTTTAAAATCTACTTCAAATGTAGCAGCATAGCTTGTCAAACAGCAAAATCTTGCTTTTTATATGAATAAATAAGATACTTCACTAGAGACAGAAGGTCCTACAAGACACCTGCAGGACTCCAGCTAGAGCTGTGACTACACTCCAGGCAATAGTTACTCAGTGGGTTATTTTTTTAGCTGTGCTGGCTCCCTGATCTGATTCACTCTGCAGCCATGCAAACATCTGTGCTGGGACTATTCAGTAGGAGGTTTAGAGATGGAACAAACCACTAAAGAATGGCATGCATGAGTATGCAGTTAGAAGCACGTAGCAGTTACTACCTCACTAATCTCCCCTGCATTTACCTCTTATTGTCCCCTTGGCAAGACAAGCCCCAAATTCACTGATCTCCTCTGAGTTTACCTTGTATCATCATGGCAAGACATGTTGTGCCTCTTCACTGCTGAAATGAGGGGTCCTGACTAACCTGATCCCTCAAGGAACACCTCTTTGGCCATGCAAATAAAGGGACTTTAGTATCTTCCCACTGCAAGCATACCTATGAAACTACCCCATCAATTCCCTTTGCCAGGCAATTCAGCAAAGCAGAAGGCAGTACATATAATCAGAGCATGAGCCGGCTCTTGAGAGATACTATTAGCTCAAGGGGGTTGTCAGGAGAAGAGTGGGCTCTTTTAGAAACAAGATTCATCAGAAAATTGCCTTGATACCTTACTTGCTGGATTTCAAAGACTCAAATCTTAACTCAGCTTTCTGTAACAGCAAAAGATGCCAGAAGTAACTTCATTTCTGAATTAAGCCCATAAAAAGTATCTGTACTAGAGATTAAAAGGGAATAAGTTTAAAAGATGAAACAAAGGATAATTGACCTTGGCTCAAACATTCCTGCTGTGCTCAAAGCACCCTTGGCACTTCAGATGAATATGCCTGTACTTTGATTTTAAACCGAATAAACCAGCCCTCTTTCAAGTGCAGAGATGGAAGATAGCCTGGTTGTATTACTGGGAAATACTTCAGCAGAAGCAAGGCTTCAAAAACATAATCCAGTTTTCAGCTTGGAAAGACTCTCTCCTAGCGAAAGACAATGTGGGCATTGAGAAGATGGGAAAACTGGTGCTGGACTCTAATCAGAACCTCGTTAAAGCATGTTCAACATGGGCATAGGAGCCATAATAAAGTAAGGTAAACCCTGCCTGACTTCAAAGCCTATAACTTACCTACAAGACTGTATCTTCTTCTGAGCCCCCAAAAAGAAACAGGATGGTAAACAGTAAATAAACCTCCCTTGCAAGGGTGTATTTTACCTGCACAGTCAGCTAAATGTGTTGACATGCTTATAAACAGCAACTACAAAAACATTCCATGAAAAACCTGAGAAGGCATTAAACACAGATTGCTATGGAAAATATTATGGTTAAAAACCAGCTGCAGGTTTAATCCTGCACATGAAACCCCCTGTTAGTTAACATGGACATAGTCCGTTACCTGTATTATGATTTGTACCTTAGAATGAAACCAGCAGCTGCACTTGAAGGAAGGGAATGGGACCAAAGGAAGCAAGCACAAGAGTCAGATAAGGCTCAGGTCATTTCATTAAAATTGGGTGATCACAGCTCAAGAGATTGTTTTTTTAATTATTATTATTTTGGATAAACTAATTTAAGGCAAACTTTAAGTGTGCCAGGAAAAAGCAGCAGCAGATGACAACATTTGTTACTGAAGACACTCACCTGTTCCTCAGGCATAATGAACACAGCACCAAACTGCCATACGCTTCAGTAAACTTCTGCAGAGCTCTCAGTCCCGTTACTGGTTCTGTGAACTTCTGTCTTGCCTCCGCGGCTGAAAAGAGCTTTTCAGCAATCTGCTCTGGGAAACCAATCAAGGAGTCAATGTGATCAACATTGTCAGAAATGTAACCCAGCACCAGGCTGAAGAGAGACTTGGCCGAGTAGCGGAGGTTCCCCTCCTTAGTGTACGTGAAGATGAAATGATCAGTCCTCTGCCTCCGTGCCCTATCATCCTCCCTGTTCATACACAGCTCCACTGAAAATCCTCTGGAAAACAGCCTAAAAGGTCTTGTTTTGGAAGTGACATGCTGTATGCCGCCTGCACCCTGATTTACCACATGCAGCTTCCCATTTTCACGCACATAGATCGGCCCAGTATCCAAATGGCTTTCTGAGTGGAGCCAGTAAGACATTCCCCTCGACCAGCTCTGCGAAAACAAACCGTAGGTAGGTAAGGAACAGCCACAAGAGGAAAGACCCCAAACCCTGGCATCTCTCCCTCAATGCCCCGAGCATGGTCATGTAACCCTGCAGTGTGAGGAAGGGCAGGCTATGTGGAACAGGGGTGTGAGCCGTCTGCCATTAAACCACATCACCAGCCAAAGGGGAGCTGAACCCAGAGAGGGGAATGGCATTTGCTGTGGCAGGGCCCTGCTGCTCTGTGCTCGGTGCCCATCAGAAGATCCCAGCCCTATACAGGCAAAGAGGGGCTCTGGGGAAGCAGCCTTCAGAGCTTGGCCTGGCTATGCTGCAGGCAGAAGGGAGGAAGGGAGAGGGCAAATGGCTGACTGCAGCAGGGCAATGGAGCCTGATGAAGAATCTCCCTCCCTGGGAGGTGGGCAGGCTCCTGCTGCCCCTTCCCCACCCGGAACCGAGGGGTTTGTGAGCAGGGGTCCTGGTGGGAGGAGGAGGGCGCAGACCCTGCCATGGAGGGGGCCGGCAAGGGACGGGATCCCGTCAGCTCCTACCCTGCGGGGCTGGGGGCTCCGGTCCTGCGGGGCGGGAGGAGGTCGGGCCCTGCCTGAGGGGGAAAGGGGCGCTGGAGGGATCGGGCCCTGCCCTGGGCGGGCGGCGAGGGGATCGAGTCCACCCCTGAGGGGGCGGGAGGGGGGTCGGGTCCTGCCCGGGGGGCCTGTGAAGGGATCGGGGTGAGCTCCCCGTGACCGGCTGCAGCCAAGGGGAAGGGTCCCCGCCCCGCCTGGCTCCCGGTCCGCCGCGGCCACAAGGAAGGCGAGCGCCCGGTGCCCCTCTCCCCGCCGGAGCCACCGGCCCGGCCCTCACCTACCTGCCCCAGGAGGGGCCGCCCCGACGCGCCGTCAGCCGGGCCACGGCTCCCAGCTCCCGCCGCCCATCCCGCAGCGCCCGCGGGCGGCGGGCGGAGCCGCGCCGGGGGCGGGGACAGGGAGCGGGCCGGGGCCGGGGCGGCGCGGGGCATGCCGGGAGCGGCGGCTGAGGGGGTTTTGGGGTCCCGCCTGGTCTCCCTTTGCCTTGTGCGGGACGAGCTCTTCCCTCCGCAGCCTCCCGCACCGCCGCCGCCACGCTCCTCCCGGGGCCCCGTGCGAGGCTCCCGGGGCCGGCTCTGCGGGTGTCGCCGCAGCCGCCGTTGCCTGGTAGCGGCGGCCCCGCGCGGGGATGAGGGCCACCGACTGGTGCCTGAGCTCGGCGGGGGCTGCCCTGGTCCTGGCCACGTCCAGCGACGAGCAGCACCCTGCCGAGAGCGTCGTGGACGGGTGAGGAGGGCGCGGGGCGCTGAGGGGGCGCGGGCCCCGGCGGGAAGCGGCCGCTCCCCTCAGGGATCCGTCCCCCGGGGCTACCGGTAGCGCTGCCCGTCAGCGCCGGGCTCAGCCCCCACCAGGTTACCTCATAACCCCCCGCCATTTGTGAGCCCTGCTGGGGTGCAGGGCCTGGCCGGTGAAGTGTTAACAGCTCCACAGAGCTTGCACGTTGTCGTACAGGGGGTTGCTTAAAATACCCCAAATTAAAATGGGTTTGGATGGGGTTTTCTTTGTTTTCTGTGTGATGAATTGCTTTGAAGATGGTTCTAAATGGAAAGCTGCAGGTGAGGGGTTTGTCCTGTTCTCTCCACAGCAACTCAGAAACGTTTTGGACCACGACAGGCATGTGCCCACAGGAGCTCATTATTGGTTTTCCTAAACGTGTAAAAATCAGCAAAGTCGCAATCCAGAGTTACTTGGGTAAGGCTTTATGTATTGCAGCGCCATATGTATCATGTTAAAATCTCTGCCTTTACGTGAATCATCACAGTAAAGTGTCGTGTTACAGAAGAAGCCACTTTTAACAGGTTCTTAAAGATTTAGCTTCACAGAGCAATTGTCCTTCACATCCAAAGGTTTCCATAAGTAAAAAAAAGGATGGAAAACCTATCCCGCCTGCACTTTGTTCTTACAACACTTGCATTGAACACGTAACTGTTCTGTTGCACAGAGATGGCTGTTCTGATTTAATGAATAGGACTGCAGTACTGAATGATTTATTTTTATATGCTGGTTTTTATCATTTCATAGGACAGAACTCTTTTAGTCTTCCTTTTTTTTAAATACTATGAAGGAAAATGTGAGGTCTAAGACAGAAAGGACTGTTACAAGGTCAGAGCTTGGAGACGAGAGCTTGGCCATGAGCAAAGGCTACACAGAAGACATGAAAACGTGTTGTTTATCCAGCTTGGAACATGAGGATGGGGGTTGTGGCTGAGTCCTGACCCATAAGTTAGTGGAAGACTGGATTAGTTAATGCTTTTAAAGTGCCTTGTAGATGAAAAGTGGTGGAATAAATAGCATTATCAGTAAAGGATCAGAATTCGTGTTGATGCTTTAAATGTATATATGTTTTAGTGCGGACCTTAAGGATTGAAAGAAGCGTCTCTGAAGACCCTGTAGGTTTTGAAGAGTGCATTGAAAAAGGTAAGATTCTGAATCTGAAGCAGTGGGGATTCTATGGGAATAATGTTGATCCTATGGGAATAACGTGGATCTTTTTCACCGACTCATTTTAACCCCGTGTCTACCTGTTGAGTAGTCAAGTGCGGCTTGATGATTATTTTATTAGACGTTCACGTAATAATCACATCGAAGTGAAGTTTATGAATATTGCTGTTCTCTGTAGCAGTTTGGAGATGTAAAATGCTGTATGAGGGCTAAAAGCTCTGCTTGTGCACTGGCTTTTATGTTCCAAAAATTAAAACCAGACTTACACAGCATAATAGAGTGCTATTTTCCTGCATTGTTTGGCTGGTTTGTTGGTTTTTTTCACGTCCCTTGGGTGGCATTTTATATAACAGTATAAGGAGTGGGATATATATACACTGGGATACTGCAAAAAGTAGTTGTTCTCTTAAATCACCTTGTACAAATAAAACCAGAGAACAATTTCTGTATGTAGTTCATGGTCCTTAAACTCTCTTGAACTCTGAAGTCCAGCATTGCACACTATTCTTCATTATCTGCTTTAAAATATCCTTTCTAGATTTGGAACACACAGAAGGACAGCTTCAAAAGGAAGAATTTCCAGTGAGTATTTACAGCCTATGTCCGTAGTGGTTCATGAAATGGGATGTCTAGACTAGCTGGGGAGAAATCAAAACATGCCTTTATTTATGGTTATTGCTAAGTTGATGTTTGAGACAGGAATTTGTAGATCATGGTATGCAATTGCGCTTCCTGACTGCTCCTTTGTAGATTATGGTATGAAATTGCATCTGCCTACTGCTTGTAATCATGTGAAAGAGCTCTTTGCAGGAGCGTGGCAATTCTTCCTCTTTCAGTTGTTGCCTTTGAGGCTGCAGGATTTGGGAGGAATGGTACTATTTTTGAATTCCTGTCATCTCAAGAATCTCTGAAGCTGGCTGCATGTATTAAAAAAGCTTGATTTATGTGTGATTCGAAAACAGACAGAAGGATCTAGATCCTTCGGGGTAACAAACTTCTGCAAGTGTTGTTTGGTAGTTCTGTTACTACAGAAAATGCTATAACATCTTTTTTTCCTTCTACAGCTTCCTGAATTTGAAGCCACTTACTTGCGTTTCATCATCAAATCTGCCTTCGATCACTTTGTATCAGTGCACCGGGTAATAGCAGAGGGCGCAGCAGAAAACACTTAGGTCTGGCTTAAATTTGTACCTCCTATTTTTGTTATGTACAGAAGTTATATTTTGATATCTGTAGTGCAGAGAATATTTATCATTAAAACCTTGTATTAAAGTGTGTTTTGAAGGTATGGTTGTAGTTTGTATTCCCCACCGGATTAATGTGTGGAATAGAATAGAATCATTTGGGTTGAAAAGACTTTTAAGATCATTGGGTCCAACCACAATGAAGTATCTTTGTAGTAACAGCTTTTGAGTTTTATAACCCAGACTGTTATCCTAAAACACTTACAGAATCATAGAATAGTTTGGGTTGGAAAGGACCTTAAGATCACCCAGTTCCACCACCCTGCCACGGGCAGGGACATCTCACACTACACCATGTCACCTAAGGCTCTGTCCGAGCTAGCCTTGAACACTGCCAGGGATGGAGCGTTTACCACTTCTTTAGGCAACCCATTCCAGTGCCTCACCACCCTCACAGTAAAGACCTTCCTCCTTATAGCCAATCTAAACTTCCCCTGTTTAAGTTTTAACCCATTACCCCTTGTCCTATTGCTACAGTCCCTAATGAAAAGTCCCTCCCCAGCATCCTTATAGGTCCCTTTCAGATACTGGAAGGCTGCTATGAGGTCTCCACGCAGCCTTCTCTTTTCCAGGCTGAACAGCCCCAACTTTCTCAGCCTGTCTTCTTACAGAAGGTGCTCCAGCTCCTGATCATCCTTGTGGCCCTGCAATATAACTGGGTCCATTTAAATTAGTATGTTTATATCAGACTTTCTCAATATATGAGTTAAAACCTGCTTTCCTGGAAAATGCTTCCTGTGCACTTTGAGTTGAATAGGAAAAAAAAGGTGTGCAATACTTAAATGGGAGGTATTGCTTCCTACTGTCAAATCCTTCAGCAGTTCTTAAATTGGTAACTTTCTCAACTCAAACTCAAAGGTTAATAGGATGAATATAATATGAACATCTACTAATGTCTGGAAATAACCCAGAGGGGAAGAGGGACAGGGTGAGGAGGGAAATAACCTGAAGCCACATGAAGTGCTGTGGTAGTTTTTTAATAGTTGCAGATCAATCCCTTGTTCCTATAAATATTTTCTACAATCAGGTCACAGCCGTCCCTGCTTTAAGCTGTGACTGTCACAACAAATATTAATAGAAACAAATGTTGGTGGAGATTGTCTTGGTTCAGAAGCCTTCTGAAGACCGTGAAAGTGAATATTTAGGAGAGTTCTGTCTATACAAGAGAATCCTCAGCCTGTGACACCAGTTCTTTTGCATGCCAGTTGACTTTTGGAGATGGCACCACCCCTCAAGTTCATCCTGCATGATATTCTTTACAAATGTAAATGCTGGTATCAAGTCCTGACAGCTCAGTGGGCCCAACTACTATTCATTACCACGTGTGGTGTAAGCATAATAAGATACTACAGTGCAGTGGTTGGGGTTGTAGCAATGAGACTTGAAAACCTCTGGACAAACATGTAATGAACCACTTCACAGATGCTCTTTGGATGCACCTGCAGAGTTCTTTTTCTTCTTGTCTCTTGGTATTTTTATATTCTTTTGCTTCTATCTATGAAACCTTACTCATTGAGCTTTCTTATCCAGACAGTCTTTACTCTGAAGTCCTCTCCGTTTCTGATCTCATTTTTTCCAGGATGGCACGTATTTCCTGGGGGTGATAATTCCAAGGCCCCGGTCCTCCCTGCAAAGGCAATGATACTATACAGTGACACTAAAGTAGACAGAGCACAAGTCCTTTAGCACACAGTGATTACAGCAGGACTACAGGTAGGTGCGCGTGGGCTTCGTTTGCATGGCAGCCGTTGCGTGGTAGAGAGTGTATGCACAGGTTACGCCCTGTGTGTAACTGTGACAGGGCCAGGATGTGGATCCTGGAGCTGGAGAGTGTTACTGCATCTGAACTTTGGTGTACCTGTGTTTCCTAGTGAGCCAGAAGATAAATATTTGAGCAAGACTGAGGTGTACATCAAGTATGTACATCGTAAAGCCCAGGCTGGTTTTGCTGCAAGTCCTTTTCTTTCCACAGTTACAGTGAACTCTGATTTTTCTCTCTCACACAGAATGAAACTGAGTTAGATGTAAAACATTCCCAAATTATTCAGAAATTTAAATATCTCCATATATTATGCTCATTATTATTGTTGATATTTTTTTACCTTGTAGACAACCTTTCCTCCTTGAAGTAGATACAGTCGTTCTGGCAACGCAGCGTATTTTGCACTGCTCAAGTTTTCCATAGTGTCTAAAACCACTGGACATAAAGGATCGTTTTTCTGAAGAAACTGGGCTGCCATTTTCCGATCTTCAAGGCTTCTGTGATTTTTAATAACGACATTGTTTTTAAAAGCCCATCCATCTAAAACAAATGAGAAAGGGAGTTAGCAAGGAACGTTTGGAATAGGTGTTAAGGGTGGGGATACACTGTGATAGAAAGATACCAGGTGGAGGATACGTGTCTTACTTGGGTAAGGTTTGTCAAAGTGTTGGGCGCAGAGGGGACTTTAAAATGGTAAGCAGTGCTGTTGGCTGACACCCGTTCATTTAGCACAGTCACAACAGCATCACTGTTCATTCTGCGTCATTCTACTCATTAAGCCTATAAAACAAAACTTCATCTCTGTGAGAAGTGAAGCATTTCAGCCAGGGCTCATCTTTGTTTTCCAGGAATAACACAAACACATGTTTGCATGCAACTGTTCCTAGGGAAGTAGAAACTAGTTAAAAGGTTTTGAGCAAACTGCTCTAGTGGAAGGTGTCACTGCCCATGGCAGGGAGTTGGAACTGGAGGAGCTTTATGGTCCCTTCCAACACAAACCAGTCTGGGATTCTGTGACTGAGGTACTGTTTCTCAACTACAAAAAGTGATGTATTGTTCAAAAACTTGAGAACTGTAAATGTTGGTTTAGAAAACCACCTTAACCCTGGGATATAATCAGTGCTAACGTGTTACCTGGAGTTCAGTGTGGATAAAAGTGTATATAGTTTGCTACATTTTTCAGATTGGAGTGTGTTCTTGAGATGTGTTAAAAATGAATCATTTAAAACCCCAAACACATAACACACTGGCATTTTACACTTAACCTTTGTTCTCTGAAATGCTTTGTTTTTTCCTTCCAAAAGGAGCTGTGTTAACACTGGCAGGAAGGTTTGTAAAGATACAACTGTGTGCTTCACCTTCACAGGGATGAGTGTCTCCAGCAGCAGTACCTCAGTGTAAAGTGAGATGTGTGAGTAAAATCTTTGTGAAGCATTAGGGACGCAAACCAGTGTGTTGCCCCTTTAGATTTGAGGAAGATGTCTTTCCTATTTGCAGTTCCCTCCTTTGCCAAGATACTTCTCTTCCTAAAGGGACTGCTCCATGTCTGAAGTTTTGGTGGGTGTTACTGTGATGTTTGTACTGTACCTACGGCATGAGCTTCTTCAATGTAGATAATGAGGAAATCTGCTGTGGAGCTGAAATCTTGGATGAGCTTGTTGAACTCATGAAATTTTAACATAAATGAAGGTCAGGTGCAGCTTCCAAAATTCAGGATTAAAGGCCGGTTGTCTGGAAAAAAATGGAACAGTTTGTGGTTAAATCAGTGGAGGGAGAAGGGGCAGAATTAGACACACACACTGAATTCAGCCTCTGTTGTGGAGTTTCCTGGGCAACAGTAGTAAAGTCATTTATGTTACTTTAGCCCATAACTCTCCTCCTGGGACATTAAAATTGGCAGCAGGACATCTGCATCTATGCAAAACAGGCAGAAAGATGCTTTCTTTTCCCTAGCTTGGCTCTGACCTGTGCTGGATCCAGCAATGAGCTTATCTGAGAGGGACCCATTCCTTTGTAGAGACCACTAAAGGCAGGAGGCACTGTACAGTCACGCAGCTTCTCCCGTATGCTCCTCATCAGATCCGACTCTCAAATGACCAACGTTTCAGGACTGATCTAAAATGGATATACAGCATGTAGCACGTTGCAGCTTCCAAAGATCCATCCTTATGACTTCAGAAATCCTAAACATGATCATCTGTGAGGTTTTCCAAAGGACAATGAGTGGTTCAGGGATGGACACACAGAGTCCTAATCCCTTTTAACGAACCTCTTGGACATGTCTTGATTTGTTTTTGCTTGTAGCTGAGCAGAGTGGAAGCTGCAGATTTTAAAGTCATGCATCACAGGCTTCAGTACTTTTGGTGTCTTTCTGCAATGCCCTGTCCAAGCACAGCTTTGTTTGTTATCTTACTGTTTATTAAACTAATGTTACACAAGCCACTAGCAAAAGGGTCCCTGCAGTTGCTTACACAGATGTGCCTACAGGTGTGAGCATCTATTTGCAAGGCCTCAATTTAAGAGGACTTGCAGGATAATAAAGCACCTCTTTTAGTCTATGGTTATGCTGAATTATCTGAAATTTGTTCAAGATCTTCCTTCTGGCTGGGCTTAACTTCAAAACCTGCTGCTCACAGGGATCCATGTCCTAAAGGATCTAATAAGGCAGGTATCTTCCTGGAGATATTGTGTATCTTCTCCAAATTTGCATCCTATTTTCTGCATAAACATATATATGTGTATAATAAGAAAAGCAGCATTAGAGAAGGATGTAATGCCTCCCAAGGGGATCAAAACTGCAGCTTAATGATTAATTCCACATTCTACAGAGCACTCGGTGGGAGGCAGTGGACAAAGTACAAAGCAGCTGCTTTTTCTTCTGCTTTATTTCTAGCCATGTTGGATCTGGAAGAAAAACAACCACCATGTGCTTTCTCGGCTTTAGGCCAAGGGAGCTGGTGTGGGGCTTTCTGTACAAGGAATGGCAGCCAATGCTTAGGAATCACTGCACACTCTTGCGCCATTGCCTGTGCCTGTTCAGTTGCTGGAGCAGGTCCAGAGAAGGGCTGCGGAGCTGGTGCAGGGCCTGGAGCCCAAGTGTGATGGGGAATGGCTGAGGGACCTGGGTGGGTTTAGTCTGGAGAAGAGAAGGCTCAGGGGGGACCTTATCGCTCCCTACAACTGCCTGACAGGAGGATGGAGCCAGGAGGGGGCTGGGCTCTGCTCCCAAGGAACAAGGCATGGGACAAGAGGAAACGGCCTCAAGCTGCCCCAGGGCAGGTTTAGATGGAGCTGAGGAACAATTTCTTCCCCAAAGGCTGCCCAGGGCAGTGCTGGAGTCACCGTCCCTGGAAGTGCTCACAAACCGTGTAGACGAGGCCCTCAGTGCCATGGGTTAGTGGTGGCCTTGGCAGTGCTGGGATAATGGTTGGACTTGATGAGCTTAAAGGTCTTTTCCAACCTGGTTGATTCTATGAGTCTATGATCAGCAGCATCTCCACAGTTACCACCTTGGCAAGCCAAACCCATCCGCACAGCTGATTTACTGACCTTGCATGAAATCAAGGAGGTGATGAACTTCCCCGTCGAGTGTCACCACCGGTGTGTTGGGAGCAGGGTGTCCCTCGTAGGCTTCATCCTCCAGCCTCTTCCACTTCACCTTCAGCACAAAGAGCAGATACTTGAAGCTGAAAAACGTTGGGCCCCAGTTTTCATAGCTGAACTTTGGATTCTCGTTCATTCTGCTCTTTGCACCCAGTTTCAGGATGTATCTTTTCATGGCATTGGGGAACAGAACCAGCAGTGTTTTGCCAACAACAACACACAGAGTAACGTGCAGGAGAATCAGGAATTTTTGGAGGAATACCCTGATGCTGAGCATTGTGGTGGAGGAGCTCTAACAGCTTCTGACAGCAATGCAGGGCAATGGCAGGGGCAAAGGTAAAGGGGGAGGGGGAGGAAAAACATCCACGTGTTTGGCCACATTTCTGCTGTGCCTTGCACACTGTCACCTCTCCCTGGAGTTCAGTGTCTGTGTGAGTGAGGAGCCTGTCAGCAGTGCTCTGCCCACTTACACCAAAGGATTTAATGACAGTGATGGTAGACTTTCAGTGCCACCTGCACGGTTGTAAGGCTGATTCACAGATGTGTATTTTCCTAATGGGAGGAGCTGAATCAGTATGTTTTCCCTGAACCATGGATTAAAGAATTATGCCAGCAGTACCTGAGGGGCTGATACCACCAGCAGTTATGTGCAGGGCCTGGAACACAAGTGTGATGGGGAACAGCTAAGGGACCTGGGGGGTTTAGTCTGGAGAAGAGAAGGCTCAGGGGGATTTCGTTGCCCTCTAAAACTGCCTGACAAGAGGATGGAGCAAGGAGGTGGCTCCTCCCAAGTGACAAGCTATAGAAGAGGCAATGGCCTCAGGCTGCACCAGGGAAGGTTTAGATTGGGTAGTAGGAACAATTCCTTCCCCAAAGGGTGCTCAGGCATTGGAACAGGCTGCCCAGGGCAGTGCTGGAGTCACCGTCCCTGGAAGGTATTTAAAGGTTTGTAGACGTGGCACTTCGGGACGCGGTTTAGTGGTGGCCTTGGCAGCACTGGGGCAACAGTTGCACTCAATGATCTTAAAGGTCTTTTCCAACCTGGCTGATTCTGTGATTCTATGAATATGTGTAATGATATAACCGTAAATTATCAAAATACGTGCTATACAGCTATAATTAAACATATAAATACATATATGTACAATACTTTTATATATATATATATATATATACACAAGCGATGTGTGTATACGTGCACACACTACAGCCGGGCAGAGGCAGCCCCGGCTGCTTCCGCGGGCTCTTTAAGGGGGCGGGCACGTACGGCAGAAGTCGTGCTGCGTGGCTCCTGATTGGTCGGCTCAGCGAGCTCCGCCGGTGTGTTCCCTTGGAGCCGGAGGGGCGGGGGAGAGGAGGGGAGCAGCGCGGCTGCTGATTGGCTGCCGCTGCTCAGCGCCCGCTGCCCCTTTAAGACAGCGGAGCGGCCGCTTCCGGGAGCGGTTGTGCTGCGGGAGCGGAGGTGCGGGCCGGTCCCCGGTGCTGCGGCGGGGCGGCACTGACGGTGCCGCTGTCCGGAGGGTCGAGGCCGCGGGGACCTGTTCCTCCAACCGGCGGGTGAATGGCGGCCGTGGATGATCTCAAGTTCCAAGGTAAAGGGGCGAGCGCTGGGTTTGGGGCCCGGCTGACGGGGCGTTTAGAGGCGTTTGTGAACGTTGTCCATGTAAAAGCTGCGTTTGGCAGGTGGTGTCAGGAGTATCTCCAGCTCCTGAGAGGAGATTGTGCGGTGGGGAGCTGGAAACCGGAACCGGGGTTGACCAGAACCCGTTGTGGTGGGGAGTGGAAGGTGCAGACAGGCGGAGTGCTCTGTAGTCTGGAAGGGACCGTAGTTCCTGACTTGTGTACTTTTTGATAAGTAAACGTAGGTCTGAAATAAGTAATTTTTTGGAGAAGATTAAAATGAGACATTTCTATAGTATCTTTAGAGAGGTACCTTCCCTTTGCCATTGTAGAGACCTGCTGGCCTCAGAAAGGAGAAGCCTTGGTTTATCACGGTACAGATCAGCAGGAAGGACTCCCTCATGTTTTATTAACCAAGTAAATGCTCAGCTTGATCCCTGTCAGTCTGGGCTTTAAGACACAGGTTGTATTTGACAAGCTTCAGCTACTGATGGATCCCTTTGTGGGCAATATAGGGGTCTTAATGTAGTTTCTTGAGCCATGAGAATGGAAGCGTTGGTAGCTTGGTCATTGCCTGTCTTGTAATGTACTTATTTGCAGAATTTGACGATGCAGCTAATTTGCTTGCAGCAAATCCTGATGCCACCACAATAAGCATCGATGAGCCAGAAATCCCCAAGAATCAGCACGGCCGCCTGCAGGAGCCCAGGAGAGAAGAGGATGATGAGTTACTGGGAACCGATGACTCCGATAAAACAGAGGTGATGCTCTTACACCTGCAGTGCCTCCACTGGCACATCTACAGATTGTGCTGACAGCACTGAGAGGTTTCTAGATGGCACCAGGGCATTGTGCTGGGTGGCTGAACACTCTGCTGCTTCTCCCTCGCAGGTTACATTCTTGATAGGAGAACTGGCAGAAGCAAATGTGTGTTGGCTCTTCTGTTGGTGTTGTTTGCAGGCCAGGAAGTAGTACTGCAGTGGTGGTGGTTTAAGTTGAGCTGATATGCTGGGAGATGAGCACAGCAGCAGCTGAAAATAAGTGATAGGACAAGGCGGAATGGCTTTAAACTGAAAGAGAGTAGATTTAGGTTAGATATAAGGAAGTTCTTTGCTGTGAGATACTGGCACAGGGTGCCCAGAGAAGCTGTGGCTGCCCCATCCCTGGCAGTGTTCAAGGCCAGGTTGGACTGGGATTGGAGCAAGCTGCTCTAGTGGAAGGTGTCCCTGTCCATGGCAGGGGGTTGGAACTGGATGAGCCTTAAGGTCCCTTCCAACCCAAACCAGCCTGGGATTCTACGATCTATGAAAGCCCAGCAGTGCACTTACTCCCATTGGTTTTGCTGTGGGCTTGGTGACTCTGGCAGGAGAGCAGAAAACTTCCTGAAATAGCCAGGGCTTGTTAGAAGGGTTCAGCTAACACAGCCATTGACAACAGTGAGGGAACTTGTGATGCTAATGAAGCTGTGTGTTATGATGTGGCAAAAGGTGGTATCAGGGTGCTCTTTGGAACCCCAAGCCACTGTCCTTGCAGGGAGATAAGAGTCCAGCTGCTGCTGACATTAACAGTAAAGTGGGAAGGGGAAAATGTTAAATAATTCATAATAAGTGCCACCCTGTTAAGTTTGGTTTTTATCTAGGTACGGAAATCATAGAATCGTGGAATCACAGAATAGTTGGGGTTGGAAAAGACCTTAAGACCCCCCTGCCGTGTTCAGGGACACCTCACACTAAACCATGTCACCCAAGGCTCTGTCCAGCCTGGCCTTGAACACCACCAGGAATGGAGCATTCACAGCTTACTTGGGCAACCCATTCCAGTGCTTCACCACCCTTACAGTAAAGAACTTCTTCCTTACATCCAATCTAAACTTCCCCTGTTTAGGTTTTAACCCATTACCCCTTGTCCTATCACTATAGTCCCGAATGAAGAGTCCCTCCCTAGCATCCTTATAGGCCCCCTTCTGACACTGGAAGGCTGCTATTGTTTAAATGAACATCTGTATGAAATATACAAATATAAAAATAGATACATAAATTGCATGCTTGTCTTATTTTCTGTGTTGCCTTTCCCACAATGCAGCTGCTTGCAGGACAGAAGAAAAGTGCCCCTTTCTGGACGTTTGAGTACTACCAGACGTTCTTCGATGTGGACACATACCAGGTGAATACCCTCCAGAGGAGAACTGTTGTCTGAACTGTGCTTTATCCAGACACTGAGGTTTTTCTTCCTGTTTGCCTTTTCAGTCAGGCACATCTGTCTGTTTTCACAGGTCCTGGACAGAATCAAGGGTTCAGTTTTCCCAGTACCAGGGAAGAACTTTGTAAGGCTGTATATCCGCAGCAATCCCGACCTTTATGGTAGGTGTGAGGGGTGAGAATTTATCTTTTGTGATAAATGGTGTGAGTCTGTATTTCTTTTTACTTGCTAACCTTAAAAGAAAGAGGGCAGAGGAGTTACTGAACTTGTTGGTTTCCTTTTAAGGTCCCTTTTGGATATGTGCCACGCTCGTCTTTACCATTGCTGTTAGTGGCAATCTCTCAAACTTCTTCATCCATTTGGGCAAACCAACGTACCACTACGTGCCCCAGTTCAGAAAAGGTGTGTAAGTACTTGATACAGTCCTGAGTTTGTGGGTTTGATTATCTGGTTGTGGGATTTTTTCCAATGGGCTAATGAAGTAATAGAAAAACCAGGTCACAGCTTTGATTTAGCAGTCCTGTGACTGATTGCTTTTTCTAATCTTGAGAGATGTGTAATGAGTCCTTACAGTGGGCTGTAACTGGCAGAACACCAGCCCTCCAGAGCATAAAGTAGTTGCAGGGTTTTAGTAGAGCAAGCAGGAGTAATTTGGGCAGTTACTTTTCTAGCCTTAGTGAATGCCCCCTTGTACAGAGAGTGAAAGCCCAACAAGTCCCCACTGGGGTGCTTTTGTAGGTGCCTTTCTCCAAGGAGCCTGAAGGCCTCAGGCAGAAAATGACTAAATTAAGCACTACCCATATCACCTACCAAGGGCTGGAAATTGTTACCTTCTGCCACACTCAAAAATAAGCAGGAGTTCCTCAACTGATACATGCCTTGGGGAGCTCAAAGGGAGGAGGCAGCTGTCTACAGCTGTGTTTGTAGTGTGAAGGAGGCTGCTGTCCCTGCAGAAGCACGTGGCTTCTGGTTGTTTCCAAAATCCACAGCATACTTGGAAGAGCGCTGCCTCTTGGCACTCCAGTCACTTGAATCGGTTCAGATTTAACACTCGTGTCTCTGTTCTCTTTGAATTTTTGCAGCATGCCTGCCTTCTATTCTCATTTTTCAGTAGCTATTAGTAGCTGAATTCCTAACTAAGTTTCTTTTCTCTGTGGCTCTTCCTTTCACACTGAATCCAATCGCATTTTGGACATGGGGTGTAGTAAAAAAACCTGACAATATCAAGTGAATACTTTGAGCCTTTACTTTTAAACTAACTTGAAGAGTTGGCAAAGTAGTAGGTGTAAACTGGATATAAATACAAAGTCCTCAGTTTATTAATAATTCAAGCTTTATAACTTGAAAGTAACTTCAGAAGTAGCTTTCTAGTTTCAGGCTAAATGCTTTGATTCTGGCTGGTATTCTAAGTCAAACATTAAACCTTTTGTTGTATCTCCAGTGTCCATAGCAGCAACAGCCATTTATGCATACGCTTGGCTTGTTCCCCTTGCTCTCTGGGGTTTCCTGATGTGGAGGAACAGTAAAGTCATGAACATTGTCTCCTACTCGTTCCTGGAGATAGTGTGTGTGTACGGCTACTCCCTCTTCGTTTATATTCCCACAGCGGTACGTATGGCCTGAAGAGTACACCTGTTACCTGCCCCGCAAAGAGGTCCTGGTTTAGAAACTTTGCTATTTCTTATAATGTTATTCATGTTAACCAAAATCTTGGGGTCTAGGCAAATCATTTGCTCCTTTGTTTGTCTATGATAAAGCTTATGGAAGCTTGTGTAATTGGGGGTCCTGGAAAAGCCCAGGACAGGTCATTTCCCTGGAGGCAGCACATCCAAGCAAGAGTGCTGCTGGTGAGCCTGGCAGGCAGCTTGAGCCAGCTTCAGGTATTGGGATGTTTGTGTCCCATTGTGCAGGATGGCAATGCTGATGGCTCCAAGGACAAGTTTCCCTGGTGGGGACCATCCTGGGCCACTCTGGCAAGGAGCAGGTCCTGGAGGGAGCGCCATAACTCAGGCGACACGCTCCTGTCGTGTCCAGGAGCTCATCACTGCAGTTTTGTTTTCCTCAAGTAACAGTCAGATAAGGCATGAGTTAATTTGTGCACAAATTGGCTGGAAGTGCTTAAATGTCACAGAATGATGCATCATATGCATGAATCCCCATTTCCTAACAACCCCTTTCCTCCCTCGTACAGATTTTATGGATCATACCACAAAAAGTGGTGCGCTGGGTGCTGATGATATTCTCCCTGTGCCTCTCTGGCTCTGTTTTGGTGATGACCTTCTGGCCTGCTGTCCGAGATGACAACCGCAGGATTGCGCTGGCAACCGTGGGGACCGTGGTTCTGCTCCATGCCCTGCTGGCTGTCGGCTGCTTGGTATGACACTGCCTTCCATTTCCTCTAACCTGGTAGAGGCTGCTGACACGTTACGGTGCAGGGAAGGAGGAGTTGGCTGCTTGCTGGAAAATCTTTTTTAATAAAGAAAGAAATAGTACTTCCCATTTATTTTAAATAAGGAAAAATTGATACCAGTCTGACAGTGCTAGTAACAAACTCTATAATGAATTATGGAATCATAGGATATCTTGAGCTGGATGGAATCCATAAGGATGGAGTCCAACTCCCATGAAGTCACTCATGGAACAGTTTTAAATTTACATTAATTCAGTCTAGTGTCAGCAAAGTATTAATCTTTATCCAGTCACAGTTTGTTCCAATGAGTACTATGCTTAGTCCTTTAAAATGATTAAATATTCAGTATAAAATGTGTGCTTAGTTTTGTGTATGAAAATATAAACCTGCTAGAACTTAAAGTATATAGCGTTATGAAAACAGAAGACCCTAATGCTATTGAAATATACAATGATGAGTACTTGAATTGTTATTGTCTCTTCATTGCAGTAAGTAGAATGGTATTATCCAGACTTCAGTTCTGTTCTCCCCTCAGCTTCCACAGTAGGTACATTTTGTTCCCTGCAGCTCAGTGTACACGGAGGCAAAGGCAAAACACAACTCATGTTATTGGGTGACTTACAGCTGATTTTTTTACAGGACAAGCTGGAGTGGTTTTACACTGATAGAGGGGAGATTGAGATGAGCTCTTAGGCAGAAGCTCTTCCCTGTGAGGGTGCTGAGGCGCTGGCACAGGGTGCCCAGAGAAGCTGTGGCTGCCCCATCCCTGGCAGTGTTCAAGGCCAGGTTGGACACAGGGGCTTGGAGCAAGCTGCTCTAGTGGAAGGTGTCCCTGCCCATGGCAGGGGTTGGAACTGGATGAGCTTTAAGGTCCCTTCCAACCCAAACCAGTCTGGGATTCAGTGGGGCTCCTGTTGCAGGAGGCTGCCTGACGCTTCATTGGTTAAAACAGCAAACAGTCAAATATTTACCATCAGTCCTTTCCAGTACAGGTCTTTCTCAAGGGCCTTTGCTGCTAATTGTTATATTTTGAGGTACTGTTCAGAGCACCATTTTAGTTGACTATTTCTAATCTGCTAAAACCAGAAAAGATCTGAATTTGCCATTTCAGTGCTGTGTTTGTACCTTGTGAAAGTGGGTATGGAAAGGAAGAGCTGGGATGAGGCAGAACTGTTTATTTCCCCCTAAACAGTCTTTCTGTCCTCTGTGTAACGCAGGCGTACTTTTTTGATGCTCCTGAACTGGATTTTCCTGCACCTATCGTCCCTGCTCACAATGCAACAACAGTAATAACAAAGAACCTGTAAATAAGGTAAGAACCCAACCTCAACATTCTTCTGTAATCATCACAGCCATCTTGAAACTCCTCCCCATTACTGTGGTTGAGTGGAAAAGGGTTTAACAGCCCAATTTTGCCAAAAATGTATAAAAATACCATTTATGAACTTTTTTGCAGTTATAAGTTTTAAGTACAGCCATTAAAACTGTAAAAGACTGATGCACAAAGACATGTTCTCTTTCCTTTCTTTTAGGTTTACTCTTGGTGAAGAAACACATTAAATAATCAGTCCCATAGGTCCTTTCAAAGATGTTGTTTGAGGTTTTTTTTTCCTTAATCCCATATAAAAGCCCAAAAGTGTTTGTACTGCACAAGTAAAAGTAGTAATAAACTATTCTACTCCTATTTTCCTTTCCTTTAATGTTAAAAGTAAATTGGATCTTTTTTTCCCTCTCAATGTTTGTGATGTGTTTCAGAGCAGCAGTTCTGTGTTTGGGGTGTATCTGTATCTCTGCACAGGGCTGACTCTGAGCAGAGCCATCCCTGTGGATCGCGTTCCTGGTGTGGGATGGTTTGAGGTTTTGCTTCCTGGCAGCTGGGAGTGCCGCCAGCGGCAGATGACTCTTGAATTCTGTTGGAGAGCTGAGATGTGGAACAGGCCCAGGAAAAGGCTGACAGACGTGCATGCAGAGGCCAGGCTGCTGCAAGTACACCAGCCACATGTGTGTGTATGTGGAAACAGGAGTCTTTACTGACTAGAAGCTCTATTGGATTAAGTAGTAAAAGAAAATGGATCCGGTCAAATATGCCTAACAAAAATGGTCATAGAAAATAACCAGCTGTGACTCAGCCTAATCATGCAGATCAGTTTTAGCTTTCTTCCTGCAAAACCAGTTTCTCATCCCAGGTGCCTATTGAAGATTCGATATGAACTTCAGCATTGAGGTAGAAGTAGGTACCTTACAGTGTCCCCTGGTGCCTGTGAGGAGCTGTAACATTCATGCAGTTATTTGTCTCTTTCAGATCACAACACCCATTTCTCCATCTGTACAGCAACTTCAGGTTATTTTTCCACTGAAGCCCATGGGAAGTGCAGTAAGAAGGGATGCTTTTGTACAAGAGGACAGCGATGTCCCACGGATAGAAGGACATCTCCATGTGTGCTGGACACTCGTTCCGTGAAGAGAGTGAACTGTTGATCCTAATCCTTTACACTACTTTGTCTTTAAATCCTGCCTACGCTCCCCACACCTCTGAATAAAGTGTCTGAAGGGGATTTGGGCCTCATTTTGTGCATGAAATACCCAACACTTCCCCCCCAGCCTAAAGCGTTGGGGAGGGTGGGGAAAGAGGTGTGGAAGTGGGAGACAAATCCTTTGAGGATTTGAGCCCTGTGCCACCACAGGGCTCTGCCGCACCTGTAACGCGGTTCCCTCCGTGTCCCTGCTGCTTTCCCGGGCCCCGCCCGACTCCCTCCCCTCAGCCACGCTGTCCCTCAGCCCAGCAGTGCTCATGGGCCCTCACAGGGCCCTCACGGCCCAGGCTGTTGTGCAAGGACCCGGGGCAGCCCCGTTCCCCCCCCTCGGGGCAGGCGGGGCCGTGTCGGTGCCCGGGTATGACCGAGCCCCCCTCAGGCCTCCATATGCGCTCGCGGCCCCGCCCCCCCGCCGGGGCCTGTATCCTCATAGGCCAGCCGAGCTGTCACTTCCCCATAGGGGGCGGGGAAAGCGGGTCTGCTCGCCTCCCATTGGCTGTTCCCCGCTAGTCCTCCCGGCGTACGGCGGAAGTGGCGTGCGCCGGCGGGGGGTGGCCGTTGAACGGCGGAGACTTTGAACGGCGGCGGCGCGGCCATGGAGGCCGGGTCGGGAGCGGGCCGGCAGCGAGCGCTGCTCCGGCAGGTGAGTGCGGGGCCTGAGGATGCGGGGCTGCGGACCCCGGTCCCCGCCGCCCCTCACGCTGTCCTTCCCTTCCCGCAGGTGCTGGGCTGGAGGGTGGCGGCTGCCGTCGCCTGGTCCGTGCTGCTGCTGCCCGTCTGCACCGCGGCCTTCGTCGTGCTCAGCGGCCTCGACCCGTTCCACCCGGTGCGCTGGATCTCGAGTAGGTGCTCTGCTCCCCGTTGTGCTTGCGGGTCTTCCCCGTCTGTGGTGTTGGGCTCGGGCTCCGATAACGGGAACTGCCTGTGGTGTGTGTGACGTTCCCGCTTTGTGAGTTTCTGATTGATCTTCAGCGTTTGAAACGGAACTTTCTCAATCACGAATGAAATTCCTGAAACAGACCCTCTGCACGGTGAGGGTGTGCACACGGAAAATGGGGGTATCACAGAGCCATAGAACGGGTTGGAAGGGACCCTAAGGCTCATCCAGGTCCAGCCCCCTGCCACGGGCAGGGACCCCTTCCACTAGAGCAGCTTGCTCCAAGCCCCTGTGTCCAACCTGGCCTCGAACACTGCCAGGGATGGGGCAGCCACAGCTTCTCCGGGCACCCTGTGCCAGCGCCTCAGCACCCTTGCAGGGAAGAGCTTCTCCCTAGTAATATCTAATATCTAATTTAATAGCTAATCTCAATCCCTTCTCCCTAATCTCAAATCAGTTTAAAGCCATTCCCCTTCTCCTGTCGCTACAGGCCTTGTTAAAAAGCCCCTCTCCAGGTTTCCTGTAGTCCCTTCAGGCACTGGAGCTGCTCTCAGGTCTCCCCTTCAGGAGCCTTCTCTTCTCCAGGCTGACCCAGCCCAGCTCTCAGCCTGGCTCCAGAGCAGAGCTGCTCCAGCCCTTGCAGCATCTTCGTGGCCTCCCCTGGACTCGCTCCAAAAGCTCCACGTCCCTCTGTTGTTGTTGCCCCAGAGCTGGACACAGGACTGCAGGAGGCGGTCTCAGGAGCGCAGAGTAGAAGGGGAGAATCTCTTTCCTCAGCTGCTTTAGATGGGAACTTGGTACCTGTGATCATTTAACTGTTCAGAGAGACTTAATTTCTGTTCTTTAAAAATACCAAAAGCCCAAAAGAAAAAATTAGAAGATATTTACTGTGCAAGGAACTTCTTACCTGTCACTGTATGGTTGCAGGTTTTATTAAGTGAAGGGAAGCTGTGTTAACTGAGCTATAGTTTAAGTAACTTTAAAAGATTTTCTTTTTTTTAAACAGAATTCTGAGTGCTCAATTATAAAAAAAAACCAAATAGTTATGAGGGTATAAAATATTTTCTGTGAAATTTCAATATGCTTTTATGCAGAAATGTTTTGCAGCTGGACAGTTCTGTTAAGAGATTATAGTCTATTAAACATTACTCTCCTTTGTGCGCTTACTGGACTATTGCTAACTGCGCAAGTGTTCTTTTATGTTGGTCCTTGTGTCACTGTTGTGTTACTGCAATCTCACACACAATAACGACTTGCTTTGTTTTTGTATTTTAGATTCTTTCAATGATTTATATACTTCCTACATCATCTTTTGTATCCTCCTTATGTCTGTGGTGATTCTAGTAGTAAGCATCTTCAACGCTGAGTTTTATGCAGGTGGGTTATGTAAATTGCTGAGCTCTCTGTGATACCCGAACAAAATAGGATAACCGTTTGAAGAGATTTGTATTTATGTTTGATGTAGTTAACATTGGTAAATTTCCTTTTAAATTAATACAGACAATATACAAAGCTTATTTTTAAGTAAATGATCCCCGATTCCTGCTTGCCACATGGCTGAGACTCTCTTAGCTGAGCTGTTTCATTGTTTTCTTTATCCTTTAGACTGATTCCAACTGTGGAAAGTTCTTTGGTGATAATAGTGTTTGTCTTTTAATGAAGGGTTTTGTTAGTAACAATTGAAAATTCACTTTTGGCTTTTATCCACAGTTGTGCCATCAATACCATGCTCTCGAATAGCACTGATAGGAAAAATTATTCACCCTCAGCAAGTTATCCATTCTGTTGTTCATGCTGTCATGGGAATGTTGGTTGCTTGGTGTGCTGCAGTGATGACAAAAGGGAAGTTCCAGTTTCTTGCTGTGCCCTGCACGCCTTCAGAAAGGTAATTGTGTGTGTATTAAAAAATTATATAAAGAACTTCTGTTGTAAAATGTATTTACTGCTGGCTTCTTCCATACAAAACCCTAGAATCTGAGTACTATCAAAAATAAGCAATTATATGTTGATATCCTTTATCTAAAGGATAGAAAATACCCTCCTATGTCAATGTTACAATACGCAGAGAAAAAACTGGGCTAGAAAAACTTAATTGCCAGGATTCTTAATGGAAAGTTGAATGATGACAAGTTGCTTGAACTTAAGACTTGGTCCTCTGGACTTTATGAATATAGGAAGTATCAGCATGCATAAATTAGGTGGCAAAATTCCTGCTTTAGGAAAAACTTACTGAGATATCATCTTATATACTAATCAGGAAAGTAAAATCAAATCATTGCTGATTAGGATTTCCTAAGGTTAGAATGACTTGTGTGTGTTTCTTTTGGAACCTCAGGATTAGTTCTAAGTTTTCTCTTTTAGCCTAGATGATGCTGCTCCTCAGATGTGCCTAAATGAGTATCACCTCTTTTTTCTACTTTCTGGAGCTTTCATGGGATACAGTTACAGCCTTTTATATCTTATTAACAACATGAATTATTTGCCATTTCCAATCATACAGGTAAGACATTGCAGTGCCTTTGCAGACAGATGTCAATGTGAAGTAGTGATCAAAAAAGCCTCGATTATTTACGTTTTGGGTATGGCAGTAGCAGCTGTCTGTTGGCCTGCTTTCACTAGTAGGTAAAGAGTGCACTCGGCTTTAAATGCTGATAGTGTTCATCTTCCTCCTTCTTGCTCAACTCTTCAAATGAAAACAGAAATCTGGTGTGCTGAGCACATAAATTTTACATCCCTCCGATGCATGTTAAAAGCTGGCTGAGGTAGTCCACTGCAGAAGGTGAGCTACTGGAAAGAGACAGTAAACGCAAAGTGAATATCAACTCCTGGAATTGACCACAGTTCACCTAAAAGCTTAAAATCTTGCATGTAAAATGATGCTGTGATGCTGTCAGTTGTAACTGTGTAGCAGCTCACTTAAAGTTTAAATAGCACATTAAATCTTGCTTAAAGCTCAACATCCAGAGCTCGTTCATGCCTGTAGCGCTATGGAAACTGCAATTCTATGAATCCCTTTGGGGGAGGCTATAGCAGTTCTACAGAAATCTGTACCAATGCAAAATGGTGAGGGGCGGCTTCTGAAACATCATCCTAAAGATACTTCTTCTGTTGCTGTAGCCTTACAGCAGCCAGTAGCTTTGCACGATTCCCAAAGTCCAACCATTTTGGCAAAAGGTGTCTTTAAACAGGGTTGGTTGTAGTAGTGGAAAGCATTCAAGTCATGACCATTCGGGTCATCAGCAAAGCAAGCTCCATTTTGGCAATGCTGTAACTATAGTATTTTTAAAAATTCTATCATTGAAATACATATTTTTTTTTTAATGTAACTTAACCAAGTAAAATAAAATTAAATCAAATCACTTTGGTTTCGTTTCCATGTAGTGTCAGATGGGTTGCTTTAGTCATTTGGAAAGACATAGAATTATTTGTATGGTGTCAGTGGTTTTAGTGCCTGGAGGATTACTGACTTTCTAATTCATCCTTGTCTGAATTTTCCCTATATTTTAATGGATCATGTCTAATCTAACTGAAATCTAATAAAATCAACAAAAAGATATGTTTAATCTATGATAGCATCCTTCTAGTTTGTTCACCTGTGTTTAGAGTCAATTTACCCTGTCATTCATTTTCATACTGCAACAGGTAGGAAAAAGGATGAGAAGCAATGGCGATGATAAAATGGCAGAGGTTGGGAGAAGAAGCAGTAGGTGTAACACTTGGAATTCCATTAAATTAACCTGCTAAATTCATCTAGGCTTCAGGTTTTCAAGTACCTTGTGCTTTCTGTTTTACTCATTAATTTGTCAGGAATGCAGATTGCTAAATTATTTCGTGTTTGGTTTTTTAGCAATACAAGTACTTGCGTTTCAGAAGATCTTTGCCCCTCCTCATCAGACACAGTTGTGTGGAATCACTCTATTTTGTTAGAAACTTCTGTGCCACGTATTACTTTTTTGGTAAGTGTTCCTGGGATTCTCTTATCTCTTTTGAATGCTTTTATATTTACTCCATCAGGCCTGTTATACTATTGTTTCAGCCTTCCAGGTAACTTGCTGAAGGCACATTGACTTGTTTAAGCAAATAGAGATCTCGCATCTCTCTGAAAGGTAGTGGGGCTTGTACAGCAGTGTTTCTATGATGTCAGTTCTTGCAGCCTCACCTAAGCTTGTTTAGCATGTGAAAATTGTCTCTTCTTCAAAGAGATTAACACACATCCTATAAGAATTTATTGTCTAGCGGATCACATTATAATAAGATGATGTTCTTCTAAAGAGAAGAGAGTGGGGAACAGTAGTTCTATAACGTGAAGTCTGTCACTGTACCAAAAGATAAGCTGTCATCTCTGGTGATCTCTTCTGGGCAGGACATCTTGTTGCAGGCAGCTGTGAAATAACTTTCATGTAAGAGAAGCTAACAAATAGTAATCAGCTGGTGGTTGACAAGTGCGCATTTTAAAACCTGATGCTTGGGTTGCTGTTTACAAACCAGTCCTGATGTGTCATAACAAGATTATAACTCTGAAAACATAGTGCAATTCAAAAACCCCAAGTTTTGGCCTGTAATTTATATTCCATTTTTGCTATAAATATTCCCAGATAATTTTTTAACATGGACAAACATCTCCATGCTTTGAACTGTTCCTTCCATGGCCTGGTATTGGAAATGTAGCGGCACAGAGCTGTACCTGATGTACCAGCAGTGGGCATGACTTCACTGTTTGTAATGTTACTATATTTCACTGTTTTAAAAGTAAAAGTTAGCAGTTTGGCTTTATTCTCAAGTGCCTTTTTCATTATTTAGAGGAAGCTGAGGAGACAAAGGCTGCCTCCCATAGGACAATGAAGTTTGGTCTTTAAGACTACAGTAAAAAACAATCTGTGCTGGTGAAGAGGATTGCACAGGACTTCCTAAAAATCAGGATTTTTTAATGGCTGTAATTATCCTCCTAAATGATGTCAAAATAGGCTAGAATTATTTCCACTTTATTTACGTTGGGGATAAATTAGGGGCATGGTGCTTGTATATCAGTTTCCATTAAGTCTTTAAAAGCACTTTGCTGCTGCCTGAGCTGTAGTGAGAATTAATATTAAATTGCTATTAACCTTCTTTTGTTGGTGAGGGAGCACAAGTAACTCAGTGCTGAGAAGCCAGCAATAAAAGATAAGGTCTGCAGCTCTCAGTATGTAGTTGCTGGCCTAAGGCCTTTTTTTTATTCTCTTATTTCTATTTCTTAGGAAACACCCTAACCAAAAAAATCCCAAAGGCAGATTGTTTCCTGGTACACAAGTGTTACAAGACCAGTTTCTTGTCTGTATCCATGCATGCTTTTGTCTTCTCTGTGGCCTTTTGTGTATGTTTTGCAGTGTCATATTTGTTTCAGTGCTTCTCTTTGATCCCCTAGGTTACATCCCAAAGGTATGGATAAGTACCACGATGGATCTTCATATAGACAGGTAGGTAGTACACTGTGCTGAACACCTGGGGGAGAATATTGCTCACAGTCCCTTTGAAGAAGTTCAGCTCAGCAACTGCCTCTATGTGTAGTAGGACTCTTCCTTCTCTCCCCACAGAGAACATGGGCAGCCTTAGGTACTTCTGAAATTAATCCAAAAGGAACCAACACCCCTTGTAGAAACCACAGAATCATCATAGAATCATAGAATGGTTTGGGTTGGAAAGGACCTTAAGATCATTCAGTTTCACCCCAGTGCCATGGGCAGGGACGCCTCACCCTAGACCATGTTGTGCAAGCCCCATTCAACCTGGCATTAAGAAATGCTCTCTCCTGCATATCTAAATCTCTAAAGTATTAGAAAGGCTTATTTGTCCAAATTGCATATATGTGTTATTTGTTTTAAAATAGGGAAGCTAGAGTCTTAGTACCTGAGTTTTCTTTTCCTTAATTTCATAATATTTTCTTCATGTCATCACAGTTACCAGTTCTTTTTCAGTATCTCAAACATCTGTAAGAAATTGTTGTTGCCAAGAAGGTGATGCAGCTTCCATTCTTGCTATTGTTGCTACTGTAACAGCTTAATATAGACATCTTCCATAATAGAAATAACTTATCTCCTTGCCATTTTATTTCTGCAGTAAATTGCATCCTCTTGACACTCTGACTGGCTTATTGGATATCTCCTTGTTTTACCATACCTGGTTATGTGGCGTATTTCTTCTGATTACCTGGTACATTGCATGGTTACTCTTCAAAATCTATGCTACAGAGGTTAGTACTTAGTGACTGCTAAAGGTGCAACATCAGTGTTTCTCAGATAATGCTTTCTTTTCAAAAGGGGTTTTATTATTATTATTATGAATTCTTGAATTTTCAAAGCATGTACTACAGATAATAGCTGATAACAGTTGAGAGAGATCTGGGTATTGGCTTTCCCTTTCTCTCGTTATAGCAAGACAAGCCTGTGCTTCTTACAAAATTGGAATCATAGAATAGTTGGGGTTGGAAAGGACCTTAAGATCATCCAGTTCCAACCCCCCTGCCGTGGGCAGGGACACCTCACACTAAACCATGTCACCCAAGGCTTCGTCCAAAATTAATGCTTTGTTGTTGCCACCTTCTTTTCTTACTCCTCTACTTCTGTTTCCATGTTCCCCTTCTCCTGTTCATGTTTGCTGCTAAATCAGTGCAGAAGCAAAAAACCACTTTGTGCTTCATGGAGTCTGCACCATGTTCTCTGTCCTCTTTTGGTGTCAAGACAAATGAGCCAGTGCCAGGCCCGTATGTGTTGGGCAGAGCTCACTAGCTTGGTTTCTGCATGTCTATCCATGCAGTGATGTTTTATTTGAGTGTGACACAGATGCAGGTTACATGGGAAGATAATATCCAGAAACTGCATAGCTCTGAATTGAGTTTTACAATAGGAAAGAGAACGAAATTATATCTGTTTTCTGGGAGCTAAGCTCTGGAAATCTCAAATTTAGGCAAACCATCAAAGCACACAGTTCTCCAAAGCAGAGATGTGTTAATGTAATTCAGGCTGTGGTATTGAAATAGTCTTCGAGCAATCCTGGGAATTAAGACGCTTGTGCTTTTTCATTCAGTCATAAAGTTACAAATTAATATGGCTAAAAAAAGACCATTTAAATATATAATGAATCGTATTGGAATAAATGTGTGACTGTGATTGAAGGGGGAAGGGGGGGGAGGGGGTGGGACATAAATCTTGCCAACAAAGAATTGGAGAAGATTTGATCTTTTTTAACAAATCCAGATATTTCTTTGTAAGAATACAGAGGGGAAAAAAAAGGTCACCTAACTTGATTTTCATTTTTAAACGTTCCTAGACTACAGATTAGTAGGAAAATAAAGTGAAGTGTAAATCCTAGCTCAAGATATTGATGCAAAGCACTCTTATGGAATGAAATAGCACATGGTACTTGTTGGAATGTTAGCTTTAATTCAAAAGTTCTGGTTGTTGTGACTGCAATGCAGCAAAGATTAACAATGGGTCAAGCATAACTGGTGTAATGATGTGTCAGAATCAGTAGACAGCTCCAAAACCAGCTCTGAGGTGTGAATATCTTGTTTCAAAGGGCAGTAGTTGAAGCACCAGTGAACACTGTGTGTCGATGTCTGTTAATTATTGTCTTGCTTATAAAACTGTGAAAGACAAAAGAAACATCCAGCTGTGAAGGTATCAAATAGGTCTTGTCCTTTTGACTATTCAACAAAAGATTGCTCTATCCACATGATGATTTTTTGAATGAGCTAAAAAAACCTCCTAATCTGATCGTAAATATGTGCAAACTTAGACCCCATGAAGTCACTTCATTAATGCTTTGAAAGCAGTTGCTACCTTCAGTTTCAATTTCACAGGCTGGAAACAGGAGAATAAAGCTAGGCTATGTGTAATGAGTGCAGTAACGCAAAACTGACCCCTAGTCTGTGCCCAAATTGATCCATGTTAAATAGCATTGAATAGATGCAATGCTCGATGGAATGTTTGATACGATGTAAGACTGCTATTTACTTTGTAAATGTTGTAGCTACAAGACAGAAATTCCATTAAAACACAGAATAAAATAAAAATACAAATTCCTTAGCTTATCAGTGAAAGAGTGCAAAAAAAGTTAATTTCTTTTATTATTTGGTAAAAGAACCCTTAATACTTCAGCAGAGTGGTTACACTGTTAAAAATAGACAGTGCTGCTTTGATTTCAGTCTTGTTCCTGAATATGGTTTCACTGTTTTTTCCTGGGAAACCTTAGAATGGTTTGTGTTGGAAGGGACCTTAAAGCTCATCCAGTTCCAACCCCCTGCCACAGGCAGGGACACCTTCCACTAGAGCAGCTTGCTCCAAGCCCCTGTGTCCAAGCTGGCCTTGAACACTGCCAGGGATGGGGCAGCCACAGCTTCTCTGGGCACCGTGTGTCGGTGCCTGAGCACCCTCACAGGGAAGAGCTTCTGCCTAAGAGCTCATCTCAGTCTCCCCTCTGGCAGGTTCAAGCCATTCCCCTGTGTCCTGTCCCTGCAGGCCCTTGTCCAAAGCCCCTCTCCAGATTTCTGTAGGCCCCTTTAGGCACTGAATGCTGCTCAGAGGGCTCCCCAGGGCCCTCTCTTCTCCAGGCTCAGTAACCCCTGCTCTAACAAGCTCTAACCCAGTTAGAGGAATTTCTTTTCATATTGATATGATGCCCCTAGCTATAAATTATTTGTGTAATGGAAGGAATTTGAAGATACCTGTTTTTTTTTTCCTAAGGTTTCTTAATTTTAAACATAAGGAGTAAAATCCTTTTGTTTTTTATCTTAGAAATTTCAGGCTAGTTTACAGTCAGTTGAAGCTTTTATGTGCTTTTGTAGTTCGTCATCTGACAAGTAACAGCTTGGGTATCATCTCTCGTAAGGCTTTCTTCTGTTTTGCTCTGTATAACACAACTTCTGATGTTTGTATTTAGACACACCATTTTCCTGTCCAGCCAACTTTTGCTGAGGAGACTGACCAGAGCCTGCCTAAAATCCTAAACAGCAATCCTCCCCTCATTATAAAGGTAACTGAATTCCCACCATCTTCCCAGCGAGGTGTGTGCTGAGAGGTTGTTTCTCAAAGTGTGCAATCAGATCTTCCAGGTACCAGTTATTTTAACTGGGGAGTTAGTTCTTTAAAAAGCTGCCTCAGAACAGGAGGAAGTGATGCTTAATGGTGAAAATCGGTTTAGTAGTGACATCTGCTGGTGTTCACCACGCTGTTAACTCTAAGCCAAGGACAGGCTAACATAGTTACAGGCAAGATCTGTCTGCAACAGAACTATATTAGTGTGTACTGATGTAAAACAAACAGGTTAGTGATATTCAGGCTTTCTGAAAACTCTTTCAGCTTGTCAGATAAGCAGGTGTTCTGTCACACCTTTGTACTCTCTCAACACTTTGCCCCTGCTGCTTACATTTGAGCTCTTACATGGGTGCTCTCTCATGACATTAGAAAGATATTTCCATGTTTATGCTGTAATTTGGGTTTCTTTCTTTAAAAAGAAAATATTGAAAAGCTGCTTAAAACCTGTGAGTAAGGAAGAGTAAATTTGGTCTGACTATGGTAATCATTGATGGGATTCACAGATTCTAATACTTAGAAATTGGAGACTTCAAAAAGTATTATGCAAATAAGGATGAAGATATTTTTCTGTGCATTCAAAATCCACATTTACTGATTTTACAGATCTCTAATACTGGAGATGGATGAGGCTGCAGTCCATTTGAATCCTTTTTTAAGCTTTGCTGCATTATCAAAGGGTGGGTGGGGAAGAGTCAAGCGTAGCACAGTTGAAGGGAGAGAAAGTCTAATTTGTAATCTCAGCAGTTACTAAAGAGTAGCTTATAATTGGGTTTTACTTAGTGTGAGTTATGTGGTTATTTTTGGTTTGCCACATTAATTACTTCATCACATGGAAAAGCAGTGTTAGGTCTGGTACTATACAGCACACTGCATAGAGGGCTCTAGCTTGCAAGATCAGTTCTTTCCTTAGACCTTTTTGTGTCTTAGGTTCTTTCTGTCTGAGTAGCTAGCTGTTAAGATAAAAAGTAGTGTTAGATCTTCTTTAACTCCAAAGTAGAGTTACCTGAAGCTCTGGCTAACTCAGCAGCTTCATCCAGAGTGGTTCTGGGGGGATGTCTGTGGTCATTTGCCTCCTTTCTTTTTCTGTTACGTGGCTGGTTTTATTCTGTGTGAACTCTCTATTTGTTAGGGCTTGCTATTGTATGGATACCTACCTTTGGGTGTTTTTTGTTTTTTTTTTTAAGGAAATGCATTGGACTTTGCATGCACTAAAACATTTTACTTTCTTTGTAGTTTTTAGCCTTACAAGACTTGATGTTACTTTCTCAGTATTCCCCTGTTCGACGACAGGAAGTCTTTAGCCTTAGTCAGCCAGGTAATTGCAAAACTACTGGTGATTCTTTTTCTTTCTTGTAGAAGTGTTAGTCAAATGCTTTTACAAGTCATTAACACCGTGAGGCATGCCACATAAGCCAGGAGACCTCATCCCTATGGTGCCTTTTCCAAAAGGATGCTTAATAATGTAAATTCATATTGTTTCATCTCCAAAACTTGACAAACGCTGCTGCCTGTTGTTTGATCTAAATGACAGCTGTGAGGAAACACAGGTCTTAGGGTATTGACACCACCAGTCCCATAGTCCAAACTGAATAATCTAGCAGATGCATATGAAAGTGTAACATTGAGATATGAAGTAAAATCAAGCACGAATAGTGAGTCACCACTGGAGCTGTGAAAGCAAACAACGGTTGTAATTTTAGTTAGTACGTCAGCCTCTTGCTATATATAAAGATATACAAAGAGAAGGTCAATGAAAACTGCTTAGAAGCCTTCAGGAACTCTTTGTTCCACCTTATCAGGAATTCTAGTGTTTGTACTATTTCAGAACTGTTTACCATCACCATTGATACCACTTGGTTCATTTTGGTTGTTTAGTGATTTTAAATCCGATGGGCAGAACTGCCTGTTTTCTGCTTGCTTAGCAAGTTTCACTAAAGTCTTTTTGGAGTTATCCATTGGCAGAAGGATAGAATCTTTCCATGTTTTCATCTTCCCCTCAGTATAAATACACTATCACAGTGAAAATGCCCTGTGTGTTCTTAGAAATGGACTGGTACTATAACTTCGAAGCTTATGCCGAGAGCACACAGGCACTGTCAGAACAGTTACAAGGATGAGCATGTGGGTTAAACACTACTGCTGAGTTTCCTTTTGTGTGCATGCTGCTAGGTGGGCACCCGCACAACTGGGCTGCAATATCAAGAGAGTGTTTGAATCTTCTGAGTGATCTGACCCAGAGGCTGATCGCACAGCAGGAAGCTGCAGCAGCAAATGGGAGAGCAAAGCTGCCAGCAGGAGAGCTGAAAATACCTCCGCAGACTCCAGGTATGTGAGGAAACACTCATAACAGTTCATAAAGCAGGAAAGTATCAATGGATTACATAGGCACATTAGTCTCAGTTAACTTGTATGGGGAAAATGAGGCATGGGGTTTTCTGCAAATAAATCCAAACACAGTCTCTTCCCTGTTGAATTTAAGGTATTCTTGTTGAAGTAATCTAAAATAACTGGAAAACTTGGAAAGATCATCTTTACTCTGTTTGCTCTGCATGGTGTTATGTTCAGTACAATGTTTTTTCCACACTTGCATGAATTAAGGAAGTCTAATTATTCCTGATTTGGTAACCTAGTACAGGGAGAAGTTAAGTCTTGCCAAGAGATGCTCTGTAATTTGCATAGCTGCTCTTATGATTAGTTCAGATGGTAAAATCAGTCTTTGTTTTGTTGTTGTAGGGACTTTGAATATAGAATCATAGAATTGATTAGGTCAAAAAAAAAAGCCTTTAAGATAATCAAGTCCAGCTGTTAATCCAGCACTGCCAAGTCTACCACTAAACCATGCCATAAAGTGCCATGTCTGCATGTCTTTTAAATACCTCCAGGGATGTTGACTCCACTTCCCTGGGCATTCTGTTCAATGCTTGACAACCCTTCCAGGGAAGAAATTGTTCCTAATCTCCAGTCTAAACCACCCTGGCATAGCTTGAGGCCCTTCCCTCTTGTCCTATTGCTTCTTAACTGGGAGAAGAGACAGACCCCCCTCCTTGTTCCGTCTTCCTTTCAAGTAGTTGTAGAGAGCAGTAAGGACTCCCCTGAGCCTCCTTATCTCCAGGTTAAACAGCCCCATTCTCCTCAGCCTCTCCCCATCACACTTGTGCTACAGGCCCTTCACCAGCTCCATTGCCCTTCTCTGGCCCCCCTCCAGCACCTCAATGTCTCTCTTGTAGTGAAGGGCCCAGAACCGAACATGGGGTTTGAAGTGCAGCCTCACCAGTGCTGAGTACAGGGGCACAATCACTGCCTAGCCCTCCTGGCCACACTGTTTCTAATGCCACTGGCCTTGGCCACCTGGGCTCACTTTTCTGCCAAGCAGCAAAAGCTTGCCATTCTTTTCCCAGCCTGTGGCATTGCATGGTGTGATAGTGGCCCAAGTGCAGGACCCAGCACTGAGCCTTGTTGAACCTCATGCAATTGGCCCTTGCCCATGGATCCAGCCTGTTCAGATCCCTTTGTGGAGCCTTCCCTACCCTCCAGCAGATCAGCACTCCCACAGACAAGCATATGTTTGTGTGACTCACTAATATCACTGTAGTATAAGAAAAGCCAGCCTGATTCTTGGAGCCTGCAAGCATTCCAGGTGCTTTACATGCCAGACGTGGGCATCATTCCTGGCAGCAGAGCAGTGTTGGCACGAGGGGTGCCACTAATTGAATCCCTTAGCAGTTAGTGCCTAGGATACTGGTGCCCTGGGAACAGCAGGGGACTGTTGGCATGTCAGAGGTGAATTTCTCCTAGTGCTGCTGTTCCTTGGATTTTGAGATGATCTGACTTTTCTTACAAACCGAGCAGAATCAGAAAGGATTGCCATTCTTAATCCTAAAAGCACACTTTATAGATACAGTGTGCTTTTATTTAGGATGTATATAGATATATATTGGGGTGTAGTAATGATGCCTAGCAAAAGTAGAAAAATAAATAGATCCATAAGAATCCTTTTCATTACCTGCTGTTCTTAAACTGATGAACTAAAACACTTCGTACTCATGCTGATGTGTACTTATTTGCAAGACCACAATGGTAACAATGTTCTTTAATAAAGGCTCTGATGATAGAGAAGTTGTTGAAATAGTAATCAATAGGAAACTCATCTCTTATTTCACCTGCACCAGCCTGTTTGTCTTCATGCAGTGTGTTCTTTGTTGTCAGGAGCTGTTGCGACAGAAGGCATGTTTTTCCAGTCGCAGAGATCGAATATCATTCCCAGAGCTTCCATGTCTTCAATGGTTAAATCATCCCTAATGTCTTTAAAGGCATCGCCAGGGTCTGATGTTGGTTCACCTTTCAGCTCACCTGCTTTAAATGGCAAGATGGGAATTGTGGATGTAAAGTCTCCTTGGCATGGATCAGCCCAAAGTCCTTATGTTATAAGGAGGGGCCCAAAGCTGTGGACGTCAGTTACAGGTAGATGCTTTTTGACTGCGCTGTTTTTATCCTCGTAGTCAGGAGTGTAGTAGCTGTGTCAATAGAGATCTGTATCTTGAGGATTAAAGTGACAGCAACCAGTTTTGTTGAAGATATTGTATTTCTTCTGTAGATCTGCACATGAATGGTTCCCACCACGAATCCTTCCCAGAGCTCTCTGCTGCAAAAGCTGGCCATGAGGCAGTACAGCCAAGATTTATTTACACATGGCTTCAGAACAAGCAAGAACAGGTAAAGTAAAATTGCTGTACAGATAGGTTACAGCCAGTGCAGCTTAGGTGTTCTCTCCTCCAGAAGAACTTTCAGGGGTTTTTGAATGAATACTTCCTTCTCCAGTTACTTACATAAGAAAAATCCCCCCCCTCAGTCCCCTTATACTGTGTGAAGATGGTAGGGACAATTGTACCTACCTTAGATAAATATAGAGGATGTTTTTAATCTTCTGTTTCTTTTCAGATAAAAACCTTCTTGTCAAAACGTGTGCTGATAATGTATTTCTTCAGCAAGGTAATCCTGATCTTAGGGTTTGTGACTGTGCAGCATGGACTAGAAATGCATGAGTATATGGGTTCTGCTGTGGCACTACGTTTTGCATACAGTAACAGTTCTAAACCCTTTTAATCTAAGGTTTTCTGCTTTGTGTGAGTTTTGTAGCAGGATTATATTTTATCTGCGTAAAAGAGAAGAATAATACTTGTTTAAACTCATCTGATAAACTGCTTTTTTACTTAAGGCATCACGTAATAGTAAAACACAACTAATTGGAAAGTGTCATGGTTTCTAGTTAACTTTAAAATGCAGCTAACTGTTTTTTGTTAGGTCAATGTAGCAAATAAATTCTTTATGGTTTTCCTTTGTGGAAAGTCCTGTCCCAAACTAATTTTAGTTTCTTAAAAGATCAGATTTCTTTGGGAATTCCCCAAGAGCTGTCAGCTTTGCAGGTCGTTTCTGAGGGGAGAGACATGACCCTATCAAATGTGTAATACCTTAACTGAAACCTGCAATTTTGGTGATACTGTTTCTCAGTGCATTCAGAATGCTTTGATTTCTTCTCAGCACCCAGAAGCCTCCATCCAAGCTGTCTTCTCTGATGCCCAAATGCACATCTGGGCTTTGGAAGGTAAGCTGTTCCTATTCCCGGGGATCCACTCTGCTGGCTTGTGGAACTACAAACTAAAAGGGTCTGATTCCAGGTTTTGGGGGCTCTGTGCTTTAAAATGTAATGGAAGAAAAATCTTTGAATCTACTTTACAAAAACCCAGCTGCAGTTCAGGTACTGACAGGAATAAAGGTCTAATTCACTTGTTAGTTTTGAGATCCCATGTGAGATTTTAGTTTATGTTCTGTAGAGGTTTGGTAGAGATTCCTAAGCAGATAGCATTGGTGTTCTAACTAAGGGCTTTTTTTTAATATGAGAAGGGATTCAAAGGTAAATCAAGGGTTCAGAGTAACAGAGTTCTCATACAAGCTGAACAAAGAAAGTGAAGTGATCTGGAACTGTTTGTTTGTGGCTAGAAGAATTGTGAAATAGTTGATGTCACGTACAGCTCTGATCAGAGCAGGGGAAAGAGGGAGCCAATGCTTTTTAAAATGTATTTCATATATAATCCCTCTTGCCTTCTCAACCTCAACCTCTCTTAAACCAGTGGCTGGTTTAGTCCTGAAGCAAGCCAAAGCTGAGGCAGCTGTTGTTTGGCTGCAGCCAGTCCTGAAGAATTCCACCACACTGATGGAGTCTTCAGGCAAACCTGTGATCCTTGTCAGTGCTTCAGAAGCTGAGGATTCAGTAATGATACCAAACTTCTCTTTTTAAAGGTCTGTCTCATTTGGTAGCAGCCTCCTTTACTGAGGACCAGTTTGGAGTTGTTCAAACTACGCTGCCAGCTATCCTGAATACCTTACTGACTCTTCAGGAGGTAAAAACTGTTACCTTTTCCTTACTGCAGAATGAGTTTAGGAGAAAAGGAGTTGAGTTCATTTTGGTTTTTTACCTTGCTGACCAGTTGTAACATTCAAGTTGTTACCAGTGTAACTTGTGCTGTTAATCTAAACCAAACAGCTGGTTGCCTTTCTGTGCATTGTGAATCAGCTGAATAAAAACCCTGGTAGTTTTTCAAAATGCCAAACTAGAAAGCATGCTTTTAATGGAATGTGTCATTTCTTAAATTTAACTGAGCTACGTGCTCAGTTAGACTTTATTTCAGGGGTGCAGCAATTATGATGCTATATTCAATGCACAGTTAGGATTTAATCTTTAATTTGCTGTACACAATTCCTGGTGCAGCCTGGAGACATTGCAAGTCACAGGAGATAAGATCTGCGTGGTGTTTCTCTACTAATGCTAGGACATTACTCTCAAATTACTGATGTGTGTGTAATGTGTATTTAAAAGAAATAATCCAGATTTGTTTCCAAGGCTACGTGTTTCCTGTTGACATAATCATTTTACACTGCCTTAATCAAGATTCTTGGAAAGAATTTAGAGGTTATTAATGCTCTTCAATGTAAGTCATCTATTCCAAGAACAGGGGGAAGAAGAAAAAGCCAGTAACCTTGTTTGTGAAAGAAGCAAGTAATAATACAGGACAGAATTGTATTTGTGCAGCAGAGAATTGTATTTCACAGAACTTGGTTCAATGCTCATGTTGATGGCCAGGAAATGCAAGGTCAAGCTCAGTGTCCAATCCATTTCTGTGTGCCTTGGTGGAATTTCTGAACTTGTACTTTCTTTTTGCTTTGTTTGACATAAACATGTTGCTGGTTACGTTATGAAATGATTGAACAAGTTCATCCACATGTCTCTCAATCAGGTTGTAGACAGACACTTCAAACTGCCTCATGTTTCTAGCAAGCCCCCCAGGGTGTCAGGAAGTCTGGTGGATACCTCCTATAAAACTCTACGGTTTGCACTTAGAGCATCTCTGAAAACAGCCCTGTACCGGATAACTGCTGTCTTTGGAGAGCACTTGAAGTAAGAACTCTTTCATGATTGTTTGCTTACTGAATGTAGTTTCAATTAATGTGACCTGTGAAAAGGGAAGCTTGGGCAAAAATCCCCTCTGCTCGTTATTCTAACATGGTGTTTTAGGTTTGTTTTTCTTACTTGTGGAACCTTAAATTCTTGTGTAGGTATTAGGTCCCCTTTAGAAACTTATTATTCATAGATTCCTGGGCAATTTTTGTTAATGACTTTTCATGGACTCTTTAGAAGCAGGCCACAAATACTAAATCTGAGCTGTTGAAAAGAAAGCAAAGCTACTTGTGACAATTGTCTGTTCTGTAGGGAGAGAATCCTATGCAGAGTCCAAATAATCAAATTCCCTTGCTGCTTGGTTGTCTGATCTGATGGCTCTTGCTCAGCTGCTCTTGTAGCTGGCAGATTTTCATATCTGGCCTCTGAATATGTGGGACAAAAGTCCGTGCATCCCTGTAGGGATGAAATGTCACTCAAGTTTGCAAGTGCTGATATACAGAGAGATCATTTGAAGAGATTCTCTTACCTAAATCATTTGTTCGAGTTGAACAATTGCTTGTGTGTGTTTAAAGGTAAGGAAGTAGGCTAGGTTTCCTGGACTGAAGAATAGTAGTAGTAGTGGAAGCTGTTGAGAACTGACAGTTTTAAGGGTTAATGTAGTCTTTCTGTCTTGGAATGTAGGCTTCTCATGCAGCTGGGTTTTCCAGAACGTAGCTTCAGTGTAACTGTTGATTTCAATGTATACTCAATTTTGGCATGAGGCTTTATTTTTGCGGTGTATTGCGTTGAATGTAAAACCTTACCTGCTGCATTTGTTTGTTTTAGTGCAGTGCAAGTGTCTACAGAACATAAGAAAAGGCTTCAGCAATTCTTGGAATACAAAGAATAAATAAGATTTTGATGCTGCTACATTGTTTTTTTTTTTTTCCCCCAACACCCTGGCTAAGAAGGAATTGGGACTAAGGAGCCTTGTTATCCTGGCCTTGTGGAAAAATGTATGGAAGTACAAGTCACTGGACAAAACTCTTCCAACTGTAGAAGAGCTCTCCCAGGTTTGAATCATATTTTGTATAATAAAACTTTTTTTAAAATTCATCTTGCCTTCTTTTACTATCTCTTAGAAATGAGAACGTGTCAGTTCTTATTTTACATAAGAGTGTGACATTTGGGATGATCCAAGTTACTTTGCCACTCAGATCCTTCACTGGCTTTCATGATGTATTCTTTCCCTACCCTTTTCTGCTAAAGGGCTGAGTAGAGATTTACAGAGATGCTTAGTGGGCCTAAGTGTTCCATAAATTTAGTTGGTAACACTTTTAGTGCAGATGAAGTGTGTTCTTTAAGAGTAGGAAACAGATGTGCCCAGGAATAAAACATGCCACTCTTCTGGAAGATGAAACTATTCCTTCAGAGTAAAATGCTTGTGTGGAAAGGTATTGTTAAGACACAAATACGGCTTGAAAAGCTACCAGCTTGGATCTTATCTTTAAGGTGACCTGGGAAACTAAGTTCTGATCTACACTGAAACATACAGGAAACATTACTGCATTTAGTAAAACCTCCAGATAATGTTACTGTGAATTAAAGTTGGGATCAACATCTTTTTGTAAAGGGGGATAAGAAGGATGTTTGCAGGGTATCAGATTGTTTAATTCGGAACAATATACATTAACTTCTGCTGGAAAAATGTCTTTTTCAAAGCACTTCTTAAGCTTTTTATCTGGAAGTAAACCTGTCCAAATTGTTTGCAAACAAACAACTCTGTTTTTAAACTGACTCCAGTTATTATGATATCTACACTGGAAAACATGTATGGAGTATGAAGAGTGTGGATGTAGCTGCAGGTACCTTACTTAATATCCTCGAGATAACAGTAAGTTAAATGAATTTAGTGTGACTAAGAGGAAACAAAATTTGGATCATTCTCCCAGTTCTGTTAGTGCTATTTTTTGGAGGTTTTTTTTTTGATAGAAAACCCAAAATGGCTACAGTGTCAGTTATGTTGGTGTGATGAAACATCAGCTGACAGTGAGTAGTTGTGTAGTCATAATTCTTTAGGGGCCTGTAAGGTTTGGGTAAGAGATAAAAGCCTAAATCTACAGTGAGACCTGTGTATTGCTTTCCTCAGTACAGAGGCATGTCATCTTCTTGTAATGCAGACACTGTTAGATATGACAGTGGAAATTAGAACTGCCTTGTTCCTTTTGCTCTGAGATGGCTTACAGCAAGCACTGTAAGGTGAGGACAGCCTTCCATTATATTTAAAGGTTTAAGCACACTCTTTTAATTTCTACCACAGCTTTGACTGTTGTAATCAAAGCCTCTTGCCTGCCTGGCTTATTAATGAAATTAATTTGCTTATTTGCAGGTATTGCAGTGTGCAGCTGGAGCTAACACAGTGCTTTAGCTCATACCTCAGGTGTACCTGCTGACCCAGACAGTTTCAAATACATTTTTCATGCATTTAAACAGGTGCAGAACTGTATTTTTATTGCTCTGGTATTTTCTGCAACACTCCCACCACTATAAGCTGTGACTTGTAATTACCAGTGTTATGGCTGTCAGCAGCAGGCTTAAAACGCAGACTTCTTTTTGATGCCAAAGTGCTTGAGGTCTGTCCTCCTTGTGTTGCAGCTGAGATTTGCACATGACATCTGCTAATGTACGAGTGATTCATGGCATTCTCTGTGTATGACAGAAGAGCTTTCAAAAGCTGATTGCTCTGTGGTTTCTTTAAAAGCTGCAATTCTTAAAGAGCTGTAGCCCTTTTTTTTTTAAGCCTTTACTTAAAAGGGTATCTTTAACAATATCTCATGCTCATGATTCTAAGTGTACAAGAATACAAAGTGGATGTTGGGTGCCCTCTGAAGATGCAGCAACTGGCTCACACAACTCAAACAGGGAAAACATCTTATTCTAGTTTTGGCTTTGGGAATAATTATGTTCCTCTGGCAAACCATGCTGGTATTTCAAGTCCTTTTATATACTTCTGTCTTAACATAAAAATAATCAGTCTGTGAAACCTCTGAGATACGGGAAGAGTCCCTCAAGTTCTTTTCTGCATTCTGAGTATAAAGGGGAAAAAATAAAGTCTTTTTTACAGTTGGCTTCGTTATACCTGCAGTTAAATTGGATCCCTCAAGCCTTGCTATTATTTCTCATCCATTTAACCATCTCAAAGCTGAGCTGCATCCTCGTGCTGGATTGCCTACCACATGCACAAGTGGGTCTGATAGCATTCTGGTAACCTTGAGAACCATCTGCTTCTCCCTGCAGGCTAGCTGGAGTTAAGGGTATCTGAAATTATTTCCACTGCTGCTGTGAAGAGGTACACAGTTGATGGCCCAGGTCTGGTTCTGTGTTACAAAGGAGTAATGAAATAGAGGCTTTAGCTCTTAAGCAATACAGGTTTGAAAATGCAGTCTGAGGGTGGACAAATGCAATGGCCCTTGTCCTTGCAGCTCTTGCACACTGCTGTATCTTGAGGGAGCTGGGCAGGACTTGCTCCCTCAACAGGAGCACTTTGCCACTTGGAGAATTGTCTCACTGCCAGTGGCAGCTCGGGGCCTGAATGTGCCCTTGAAATGAAGTGGTTTCGATTCTGTTGTTGCTTGCTTTGAACAGAGGCTGTACTGTGTGTGCTGTGCTTGGTGTTTTAAGGCCTCCAGCAGCCATCTTCCCACCTACTGAGATACACGTATGGCTCCAAGGGCAAGGCAAGTGCCCCTGCAGATGCGTCCAGCTGCAGCTGAGGAAGTACTGTTCTCTTGCTGATGAGTTTCCTGGTACCTGCTCAGTCACAGGCAAGTTGTACAGTCTGTGGCCTATGTGCCTCCCTCCCAGCTACTGGAACCAGCCATGTGCAGGATCCTGGGGGGAGGGCCTGGTGCTTTCAGTGGGTTGGGTGCACATGAATCCACATGAGATGGCCCCAGAGGCACCCTCAGCTGTGGAGGTGCTTCTTGCCGTGTGCAGTGCTGACCCCTTTTCACAGGGGCTGCACGGTGGCAGGTTGCAGTGCTTTTGGAGCACATTCAGGCAGGCATTTCGTAGCTGCAGGGCTTTCCCTGTTTATTGCAGCTGAGCTCCCACCACTCCCATCACCACCTTTCTATAAAGATGCAATAAAAAGATGAAGTTCTGGGTGGAATCATCATGGATAGTGCAAACTGAGGACCCTCCCCACTACCCACACACCTTCTTCCCCCTCTGGTCTTAATGTTTTCCATCACCAGTAGTGTGTTAACATATTTGTTATGTGGATTAAATGTATGTGGGTGCTGTGGCCATACCTGGAATGTGGTTTGCCAGGCTCTTGTGTTGTAAGCGGCTGTTCTCACATCAGAATATTGCAGACTCATGGTAGAGATTTGCATCTGGCATATCAGCTTTGGACAAACCTGCAGTATAAACAAACTGTGCGGCTTGCCTGTGCCTGAGAAAGCAGCCTGAGAGAGAGCAGAACCTACACCACACTGATGACAGAAGACACAAAATATATTGGAGAAGACCTCACCTTTCTGCTCTTGCAAAACTCTTAGGGCTGCAGCAGAGTTAGTCAGGAGGTAGATGAAGATGGGGTCTTTGGAGCCTGTCATGAGATCAAAACACAAATTCAAGGGGGAATAGTTCCCCTTTGGTACACTAGCTGACTCTTCTGATAGGTGGCAATGGCATGTAAGTTCCCTCTTTTCTTTTTTCCTTTGATTCCCCCTCAAGAGTCAGTTCCTGAAGTAGGAAGAATTTCAGAGGGAGCTGTGGCCTAAGCAGCACATGTAAGTACTCGTGCAGTCATCAAAGGAACCAAGTGCTGAGTGTATAGTGAGCTCCTCTCCCTCCCCTGCCCAAAACACACAAATACAGGCTTTGCCTTTCCCTTCTTGACACACAACTTGTAAATCTGACTACTGAAGCACAGCACTGGGGCATGCTGTCGTATTTAACTGCATCTTGTCTGTAAAGGTATGGTGAGAGGCCTGGAGTGAATTTTGAAGGAACTGTGAGCCTTCTGTGAGGTAAAGATTGTTGTAGCTTATCCATAAGCATCCTTCTCTGCTCTCGCTCAGCACGCTTCAATTGTGGGCTTAATGGTAGATGTTTCAGATCAAGAGCCAGGCTGGGTGACTCTTCAGGGCAAGCTTTGAAGACCAGGTAGCTGGGGCACCAGCTTTGTAAACTGCTGGGTTTCCCGTCTGTTTACCAGCAGAGGTCACTGCTCAAAGCAGGTTTGGGGAAGCGCCAGGCTCTGTACCTTGCTGGCGGTGGTGGCACGAAGTTTTGGGCTGAGCACAAGGCTGCGGCTCGAAGATAGATATTTGAGGCAGCTGTTGCCTTTTCAGACCATGGCAGCCAGCTCGGGAAGGGTTTATCGGCACCCACCACGAGTGCTATAGGAAGAGAAAGCCCAGTCTCACAGTTAGTGTGAGTTGAACATTGCCAGGGAGAAATGGGTTTGTCCTTGCCTTTATCACAGAGATCCTGTGCAGCACTTCAGCTCTTCACGGGTGGCCACTCTTTGTTAGGCTCCCAGTTTCTGCATGCTCCATTTGAGATGCCAAGGGTTGAGTTTAACTGCTGGAACTGGAAATGGGCTCTATGACATACACTGAAGGGAAATGCTAAATAACCTGGAGTGAGTCTTTGTCACAAGTTTTGCGCTCAAACTGAAGCTTTTGGCCTCTGGGCCTCCGTTGCGAAATGGGGTTTAGTCTAACTCCACCTTCCCTCACCTCCAATGATGATAACAACGTATTTGTTTGCAAATCAGTAGGCTGCTGCAGTGACAGACAGCAAAGAAATGCCCTGGAATAAACGAATAATTCTGTATTCTGCACAGGGCTTGGCTGCTGTGCAGTAAATATATTCAATGTGTGGTCCAGACACTATGCCAATAAAGAAGAAACAGAAGAGTGACTGGCTGCTCATTCAGCTATCACTGCCTTCAGTGCCTTGAATATATGGATCCCCAGGCAAAATAACTGGAGGCTGTGCTATAATGCCAGTACTATAACTCATTTATAGTAGGCATGAATCAAGGGTGCCCCAGCAATTCTATTCCTGGCATGTCCCAATGCTGAGGATTGGGGTTTACACACTGAACATCCTTAAGTTGTGCTGTCTTTGTTTCTTTTTGTTTGTTACTGAAGTTTATTTTCCTACCTGCATTGTGTATGCATGGTGTGAGAGATGCATCTATTTATGGACTGAGGCAGAGAAATAATATAGATGAATGTCTGAGGAAGGTAACTGCAGGTGTAAATAACCCCAGCCTGAATGCAGGTTGGTCAAACCCTTCATTACAGGCTTTTTTTTTTCTCCAAGTCCTCTAGAATGAACTGCTTAATTGGCAGCTCATTCTGCCTGGAGAGGCAGGAGGGAGGGAGAGATGTGTAGTGTTACAGCAGCTTCTGGAGATGCTGGTCACTTCTTGCAGTGTTTGGAAGACAAAGGTAGATTCAAGATTACTGTATGATTTCCCCAAATATGCAAGCTATTGAGAAGAGATTTGTTTTTGAAAGATAAGCCACAGTGATGTGAGGAATTTCTTTTTTCTAACTACAAGAGCTATAAATGAATCTATAAGTGATGAGGCAATGGTTGAGTACATCGCTGGATAACGTGTGGTCAGTTTGACCCTGCTGTCTTAATTCAGGGCGTCATTGAAACCACTATAAAGTAGGGCTTTGTGCTGCCTTAAAGGGGTATGTGCAATCTCCAAGAAATGGGCATAGTTACAGAGACAATCCCTTTGGCTCACTTTTTGTTTGGTTGTTTCATTTTTACTATCTGTGGTGCAGTAAATTAAAACAAAAACAAGTCTGGACTTGGCATGCCTGTGTAAATAAACTGCTGTGTGTGAATCGACAGCTCGTTTGCAGCCAGGTTATTTATAACAGTTTGTTATTTCTCCTACCAGAGAGCTTGTTTTGTCCTATATTAACAGTGATTATGGTAACACCTCCCACCTCTGTCTATGCTGCAGCAGTCACACAAAGGCCTTGCAATTTCAATTGTGTCCTTTTGAAATTCAATTTTGTTGCCTGCTGGGGTAGAAGCAGAGATTCCAGTATGTGAGCTGGAGATTAATTCTTCAGCTCTGCTTGTTTGCTCTACCCAGCTCAGCTTACCTGTATCCGTTCTGCTTCATTCCTCTCCTCCCACGGAACTGCTTGGGGAACTGGAGTTTTCAGCTTCCACGAGTTTCTTGAAGATCCGGTTTGTGACCAGCTATAATGTGGAGGCCAGTTACAACCGTCCGCTCCTGACAAAGGTAAAGAGCACACCTTGGAGGCTGGATTTGGCAAACTGGGGTCCCCTTCACATAATGTCCTTTCCCCCACTGTTTCCCCTTACCTGTTAGAGATGATCTCTCATTGTCCTTGTGTATTCAGCATCACCTCAAGCCAGGACAGTAGCGACCACAGGGGTTCATGCTGTCTGGAGCAAAGAGGCTTCATGTCTGCAAAAGTACCTGTAGACCCTGAGAAAACCACTGTTGTGGCAATGACATGATCTTGGCTGGTATCAGCAGGGAAACCCTGACGTATCAAACTTGTTTACACTCTGTTTTTCTCCTCACTGCTCTGTGTAAGCTTTGAGTTGGGCCCTGGTGTGTGCTCAGGCAGAGTTATGCTAACTGGGCTGTGGTGGTGGTACAGGACTGCTAGTTTATGTGGCTAATGTGATTCAGGAGCTGGTTTTGGTGTAACTGCCTTATCCTATCACCAGCAATGCTCAGATCCACAATGCCAAGGATCTTGCTGGTGTTTCATCAGTGTCTGGCTCCAAGGGCATCAATCAACATAACCAGCACCGTTGCACCAGCAATTGTCTATGTCCTGGCTTTTTCTTAGTTGCTCTGAGGTCTGATTTTGTCCCAACCTGAGCTAGCCTTAGACTACTATCTGTTTTCTCTTTCTTTGGTCACCAGCTAGGAGTGAATGGGCATATGGGCAAGTCTCTGGTTATTTATCACCTGTGTCTTACCCACTTGACCTAGGGAGAGAATATGCAGGCAAGCAGTTGCATTCCTCCTGGGATTTTTTTTTTATCCCAAATTGCAGCCTTGCTTTTCATATCTGACTTGAAATGAAGCAACACCCAGGGATTAGTTTCAGGGGCTGAAGAGGGCCTATCTGCCTTAACTGGAAGGTCTGCTTTGGTGATGGTGATTTCATTAACAGAAGGAAGAGGCAGCTGGGCTAGCTGTGGGCCATACTGTGACCCATGACTGCAGCCCTTGGCAACTGGGAACGTTGAACAAGAAGGCTAGTATGGAAAAATCTCTCCCTGTGCCCCCCCCCAAGAAGAGTATTGCTGTTATGAGGAGAGGCTAATGACTGGTTTTCACAAGGACAGAAGGGGAGACACCCATCTAGTTCATGGCTGTAGTGACAACATTGGGTGAATCAGTATTTGCTGTACAGTATGCGCATACAGCAAAGTTACAATGACCCAGGGCATAGAACAGTCTTAACCACAACTGCACTTGCTTGGCCTTTGTTCCAGAACTGAAACATAGGAAACATCTTCTGATTCAGCAGAGAAAGGGAGCTGCTGAACTCTTTTTATTAGTACAGTGATTCAAGGGGCACTTGGTCCTCCCATGTCTGTGGGCTTGCTGCAGGAGCTAAGCTGTTCCTGTAGTGGTGTCAGGTCTCTGTCTGGAGGAGGATTTCCATCCACTGCCTGCTTCTCTTGCTCAGACCCAGGGATGAGATAGTCCCAGCAAAGACGGGGCAGCTGCAGAGACATTTGAAACAGAGGAAACAGTGCTGTGAGAGAAGCTTTGTCCATGGGTGGGAAGGAATGTGGGTACCTGCAGCTTGAGCTATGCAGGCTACATCTCTGTGAGATGACCTGCCATGTAGAAATGCATCCTGCTGTGAAGGGCCTTAACCTTACGCGCTGTTGAAGCTTGGAGCTGCGATGTGCTTTAGCCTGAAGCCTTCCGAGGTTGTTTTAACTCCTGCTCAGAGGGTGCCCAGAGTATGGAGGATGCTCCGTGCCCCTCTGCCTGCAGAGCAGCTCAGCCCTGAGCTATTGCTGAGCGAGTGGCGGCCCCTGCCGGTGTTTTGCAGAGTACTCTGGATCATAGTGATGAAAAGAAACAGAAACTGCGGGTCAGAGCAGGGCGTGCGTGTCCTCAGGTATGGGATGGGGAATGACGTGGGCTAATGGGCTCAGAGCAGCCACGAGCCCAAGCTGTCCTTTCCCTGCTTGCTGTGGGAAGATCCCGTACCACAATTCCCCCTTCGGACGTTAGAAAACTACCTGTTTTCTAGGAAACCCCCTCTAGTTCCAGTGTTCAGGCAGTGTGCATCAGCACAGCTCTGATAATTTGCCCACCAAACCCTACCTACCTCTTTCCTGCACTGGAAGGAGTGGGATTACCCTGGTTACACTGCATTCTGGAATCATATCTCCCCCAGGAAATTTCACTGCCTCTTCACATCACTGGGGTTTAGAGCGTTACCACAGTGTATTTGTGTCTCCAGTAATTACTGCCAGGTGCCTTCAGCATTTCCAAATCAAAGAGAGAGTGGCTCAGTCCTAGTGGCCCTGCAGACGGATAGGAGTGGGGAATGGGTGGGTGTAGGTCAGCAGAGCACTGAGAGGTGTTGTGTGGCTGTAAAGAACAGCCATGCAGAGGGATAATGTACACTGACAATTCGTACTTGCTTTTAAAATCCCCAGGACACCGCTATTAAAATCCATTGTTTGTGCTAGGTGGTTGATATTTAGCTTTGTTTCCTATAGAGGTCATGTGGGAATTTCTCCCTTTTTGTAGCATCTTGCTCCTACTAATATTCTGAGGACATTTACCAGCTTTTAACCACGTTTGACGGAGAGCTATTAACTTCTGACAATTTAAGATGTGGTCTTACACAAGAAGAAGACCCCATTACTGCCCTTCTTGAGGGGAAAAGCTGGCAAGCTTCTTTAGTAGACATCAGGGCATCTGTGCTGGGCAGGGAGGAGGAGAGGCACTGCAAATGAGGCTCCCTTAGTACTGCTGCTCCCAGAACTGCTTGTTCCACCTTGAGATCTCGTGTATTTTATGGACAGTTGTTTCCCTCCCACCAAATCCACAACATTCATATCATTTGCCAAGAAAAAGTCAAGCACTCCTGTCTTGAACCATTCCTTCACTCTGCAGGGTGGCATATGCTATTAAGGGGTTGGACAAAGTGTGAGTGAGGCATTCTGTGCAGCATCTGTGCTGCCAGAAGATGAAGATCTCTGTCTCTAGCTGTGGAATGCTCCTCAGGAGGGGTGCAGCAAGACGCCAGATCAGTAGCTGTCCCTCCTCCTCATGCTAAATCTCCCAAGCCTCTCCTTTAGGTCTAATGTGAACGGTCATGATTTCCAACCAGATGTCTGTCTGATTCACGCCCGTGTAAATCAGGGATGACTCCAAGTCACTCCTACCTTGGAGCTGCCCTGCGTTATAGACCTGCTGTGCTGCACCTGTGCTGACAGCAGCGTGCAGGGCAGCAGGGTGCCAGCAAAGAGTGGGCTGGTAAAGCTCGCTGGTGCAAAGCTGCACACCATAGCTCAGCCTGCGTTTGCTTGGAACCAGGCCCAAGCTAATAAACCCAGCTAGATTGCTTCCAGACCCGAGCTGGCCTGTGAGGAGCCAGCGCAAATGTCACTGCTCTGCGTGCTCAGAGCTAGCCTAATTGTTTCTACTGGAGTGGGCCAGCTCCAGGCACCTGTAGGACAGGAAGGGAACGATGAATGGCCACCCTATAAACAGAAGCACTGAATGCACCTGAGACTGTGTCATCGGGATGCCTTGGCCAGGTTGTTCCCACCTCTGTCTCATCTCCTGCTTCCCGGGCCCAGGCTGTTGGCAAGGCTTTTGCTCTCTCCCGCTGCTCCTTTGTGGCACGCTGCAGTCACTGTGGCTTTCGCACACAAGTTGTTTATAGGGTGCTGTTGGGTGTCCCGTGGTTCCTGCCTGTTGTGTGTCTGGTGTGCAAGCATGGGGGACGGCCGAAGCTCGTGGGGAAGGGGAAGAGGGGGGCAGTGCGAGGGAAACCACGGACCATTGGGGTATGGAATGGGCAAGCGCGGGGCCCTCTCACCGCCAGGCGGGCAGCGGGAAGGTGCGGGCTCTCTCTCGGGGAGCAGGGAGGTGAGGCGAGAGAAGGGTTCCGAGGCCGTGAGGGGCTCGCCGGGGAAGCTAGACCCTGCTCCCCGCCGCTCCGCTGTCAAAGCCCCGAGGGGCGGCCCCGGCGGCACAGCCCTCCCCCTGCCCGCCCCGACTAGCCCGAGCGAAGGGCTGGCCCCGCCGCCGCGCCAGGGTAATGGCCCGGGCCGCTTTCACTCTGGCAGCCGGCCCTGCGGCGGGGGAGCGGGGCTGAGCCCATGATCCCGGCGCGGCGGCAGGACGGGGCGCGGCGGGAGCCGGCGGGCAGCGCGTCCCCCCGGGCGGCCCCTCCCAGGTAGGAGCGCGGCGGCGCGGCTGTCACAGCCCGGCCGGGCTTCTCCCTCACGGCCGCTGACCCCGCGGGCTGCGGTGAGCGCCGGGCGCTGCCAAACCCGCCCCGAGGCGCTGCGTGCGCTGCCGCCGCGTCCGCCGTTGCCTGGGTGGCCGCTGTTTGGATGCCTCGGCTGAAAGGCACCGGCCTCGACACCCTGTGCCCTCCACCCCCCCTCCCCTTTCCCTCCCGGCCGGTCTCGCCTTGCGGGGAGCGGTTGCGGAAAGCCCGGCGGTGTTGCCTAGAGAGGGAGGAAAACCGAGGCGCGGCGCCAGCCTCCCCGTCCCTCACAGGCGAGGTCTAAGCCCCGCGTTTCTGTCCCCTTCCCCTTCCCTTTCCCCTCCTCCGGGGCCGGTGTGCGTGAGGGGAGCGCGCGGGGCCGCCTCCCGCCACACGGCTGAGGCGGCGGTTAACGGCTGAGGCGGCGGGCGGCTGAGGCGGCCTCCGGCGGGGCTGACAGCCGGTGTTGTCCGGTCGGTGCAGGAGAGCGGCGAGGGCCCCGTCAGCAGCCGGGCGCGGACATGCACAGTGAGCTCGCCGCGGGCCAGAGAAGCAGCGCCCGCTTCGAGGTGACCGATAAATGCCCCGGAGCGCCTGTGAAGGAACTGCCGCGGGGGACTCGTCCCGGCGCTGGTAAAGGTGTCTTGAACCCTCAGATGTCCTTTAAAGTAGCGGTCAGCAACGGCGGTGACCGCACGGAGCCTCAGCAGAGCCCCCCTGAGATGTCAGCGCCTCTGCTGGATTTCATCCCTAAAAGAGCCAGCATATTCGAGAGGATCCCCATCCTGCCCAGGGCGCAGGAGCTGCGATGTGCTAGAGGCTCTAAAGACTATTTCCAGCAGCAGAAACATCAGAGCGTGAAGGGTGAGTTTAAAAACGCATGATCTGAGCACTACCACCACCAGCCAAACAGAACGTGTATCAAGCTTCCCCTCTCCTTTTGGTTTGCAGACTCTTTTCCAACTTTAAAACTTCCTCCCCCTCCCCTTTCTATGCAAAACCAGGGTGGTTTTTACTGATGGGAAGCGGAGTGTTTCTCAATATTCCTTAAGAAATCCCAAGCCCAGCATCTCCTTTAGGTGCCCTAAGCGACTGCAGCTCGGTTTGGTCTGCTCTCGGAGGTGGTTGTTGGGAGGATGGTGCTGAACACTGGGTTCGTCTGTCCTGCGCCGCAGCGTGCGTGTGGGGTGTTTGTTTGCGAGCATGCCAGACTGACAATAAATGCCTCGTTCTTATTCAGCAGTTTCACCACGCTTGCTTGGATTTATAGTTTGTATTTCAAGGAGGTGTTACAAATGCTGGATTCATGCAGCGAATCCTCAGGCTTGGGATTCCTGGTAGCCTGAAAGGCATTGCCGTAAGGGCGAATTCAACAAATGCCCACTTTTCATCCATCCATTGTTAAAGCTGAAGTTAGGTTGGGAATTGCCCGCTGAAATCTGTTCGTTACCCTTTTAAACCAGAACTTGTTAACTGGGCTGGAATTTGTTAATCAAAACTTAGTTTTGAAATAATCCCTCTAAGGTATCACTGGATGGGATCAGTGGGAATTGAAGCATTCCTTTATGCTACAAAGCCGCTTGCAAAGCTGAACGTGCACCTGTTTGTTAATATTAAAGCAATGATTTCTGCAGTGTTAAAAAGGTAATTCTCTTTTTGTCCTCTCAGTCCTTTCCCATTCTCAGTTTTAGAGATCTACATGCTATTATCTTCTTGCTGTAAAGCAGTTCCCACTATGATTTTTTTCAGTGCATCCCTTTCTGCCTATTCTTCTGAAAAATAGAAGTAAGCTGCGTGCCCTTGGACTAGTAACACTTTCCTTTGTGAGCCCGTTCCCTAGGGTGATGGCACCTTTCATTGCCGTGAAGTTATGTTAATGAACACCTCAATCTGTGCTAGGTCTGTCCTGCAAACCACAGGATATGTTTGTTCATCGCCAGTGAATACAGAGTGGAGCAGCAGGTTATAAATTACCTTTTTTATTTTTCTGTTTGTTAACGCTACAATTCTCCTCTCCTGATTAAAAAGAAAAGAAAAGGCTGTTAATGTTTGGCAGCAATGAAATGAAGGTCTGTTACACAGAACCAGGTTTGGAGGGGGGAGAAGGAGGATTCACAAAGTATGAAGGGACAGCTATGAGCTCTAGTACTGCTGGGCTGCTGCCTGTAGAAGGGAATTGTGAGATACTCAAGTCCTTGTGGTCCTGTGAGTGAGGTTGCTGCCACTTGACTAGAGGTCATACCAGCTTTATATCTTACCTAGAAGCACTTTCCTTTTTTCTTTATTTTTCTTTTTCCCTTTGAGCTACTTGGTTCTCTTTTCATAGGTGTTACTCTGGTGACTACTGCTGAGGCAGGGGTGTAGGGAGGGAAAGAAGAAAAGTGTAATTTCCATTGACTTGGGGCTTTCATAGTAGATGTAGGTGGGCATGAGAGAAGGTTGCTAATTCATCTTTTCTGGCTGATCAATTTCCCCTTTTCACCACTGGGGGAAAAAAAAAGGTGTTTTAAGTTTTGCTACTGTTTTTTGTTTAATGTGTTTTCTGTCCAGGGTGTTGCCTTGTGGTTGCTTCTGTATATGGGTGACTTGAGTCATGGGAGTAAGCAGGAGGTGTCCATGGGCAGGATAGGGTTCATTTACTGAGTGTGGTGATTTGATGGATAATGATGGATTTTTCCAAAGACGGCAGCAGAGGAGATTTTTTGGGTGTGTTTTTTTTTTGTTTCATTTCTGCCTTTTTTTTTTTCCTTTTTTTTTTCTTCTCCCTGTGAAGATATTTTCAGGAGAAGTTTGGGAAAGTAAAACCTTGAGCTAGAGTCTGATTTAAAATACATGGGCTGTGCTTCTTCTGACCTGTACGATGTCAGCAAGTGCCTTAATGTCCACTCAGACATTTTGGAGTTTGCCCACTTAATACAATGAGCTACCAACCCCTGCTTAGCACTGTGCTTCTGAGTCAGAAATAACAGAAGTTGCACATGTACTCACGGTGATCTGACTGTAAAATCAGAGCTCTGTGAATCTAAAAGCAATTGGGAGAGCCACTTGATCTTCCAAGGAGTGGTGTAAACCATCTCCCAACAGCCCTGGTTTTCTCAGGAAGATAAACAAAAGGACCAGGGATGGCTGCATGCGGGTGCAATACAACAAGAGAGCTAAGAAATGGGAATGAGGGAAATATTCAGATTTACCCAGTAAAAGGTTTTGGGAAGGAAACTGATGACAGCTTGATTTCAGATCATTGTGCAGTGCATCTCCTGCTCTCCAGCCCCAGAGTACCGTGTACCCAGTAATTCCCTCCGCAGTCTGGGTTAGATTACTGAATGTGCCTCCTGGTTTTGGTTTATCCACAGTTGAAAGCTGCAAGTACGGAGGGTAAAAGAAGCTCTTTAACAAGAGCAACCCGATTTTTGTAGTTGCCTGTAAAAGATACTCTCTTTTCTCTAAACATGCCTTTACTTATTTTTTTATTTATGTTTTCAAAAAAGAATGAATCAAAATTGTACACTACCCTACTAATAAAAAGGGCAACTTTGAAGTAATCACAATGGAAAGAAAGCATCCTGCTGTTGTAGTGTCTCTGTGGTGTTACTCCTGTCCTTCACAGTGTTTTAAGTTACGATCCTGCAAAATGCTTCTGTGCCTGAGCAAGTCATTTTACATGAACAGCCAAACAAAAACTGAGGGGCGGTGGTGAAGATTACTTCTGGGAATCGGATCATTTGGGTTTAAACTTTGCAGGATGGAGCTGTTGGTTGTTTACCAAAAATATCAGTATTTTGGAATCATGTTTTGTTCTGTTTGGGAGCTGTTTAAAATAAACACCCAGTTTTTACCCAGCCTCCCCCTTCTGGTATGATTGGCTGTGATACACACCCCACTTTTCTTGATCATTGATTTCCCTGTATTACTCACAAGGCAGAGTATTTGCACCCAGGCGGTGCTTCTTAGAGGCATTTGTGGTCTGCTTGGAAGAGACTAACTGTACCTTAAGGTATGGAGTCCATTTTGCAATGTTTTACTGAGATCCTGTGGTTTTTGTTCTGTTTTGTTGAATTTCATGCTACAGTACTACCATTTTGAAAGTAAAATAATTAATGTCAATGGGAAAGAAACTTCTGGGAAAGCAAGCTTTAGTGGTGACAAAAGAGTAATCTATAAAGATGTCAAATATCTCAGTTTTTTCATGCCACTGATTATGGCTGTTACCAGGAACCACTTCTCCTTTTCATTCTTTTCCAGTTTCGTTCGTGTACCTAATTCATGACTCAGTAGAAATGACGAGATTTATCCTGGTAGTTGTGCCACTGGGAAATCATCCAAATGGCCCAGACCTTTGCAGGAACCACTTCAGATATTAACTTACAGTGAGCAAAACAATAAGCCGTTCGCGTTGCAGGAGTTGGATATTTCCCTGTTGAGAGTATTTTGTATTCGGGCAAGGAGAAAGCGGGTTGGCTTTGTTTTTTAACTTTTTAGCTGTAGCTGCTTTCAGCAATTGTACAACCAATTTATTGAAATGCATTAATTTTCTTCTGCTGTTCAGAAGGAGGGCTAAATCTTGCCATTTCAAACCCCTGCGACTGTTCCCTAGGTTAGCAGGACAGTCCTTGCATAAGTAACAGCTTATACTGTTGGGATCTTAAGCAAAAGCATATGTTTTGGTTATATGACTTATTAGGTGTATCGACTGGTCTTGGGCCTGATTCTGCCATTTTCTTTCAAATACCTTGTCTGTGTTCACCTGAGTTATCCCACTGGAGCAAATGGGACTGCCTGGACCTGATAAATATTATATGGGCTGATAAAGGGGACAGGGAATGGGCTCACTAAACTCTAAACTGTCTCAATTTTATATACAGCTGTAGTAATAAATTGTTCTTCTTTCTACTGTAGTTCTCTTGCTTGCTGCATTTGAACTCTCTGCTACAAAAAAGGAATTTAAAGCTTTATTTTAACAGAACTTGCAGTTATAGAACTCCTTATTTCATGGTCTGATTTTTTTAATTATTATTATTATTTTTCCTATTTATTTTTTTTCCTTTTTGTAAGAGAAGAAAGGAGAATGAACTGCAGGTTGCAAAATGTGTACATAACGTCATTTGGGATAAATTGTAACTGTCCTCTCCTCCCTTAAACTGGCTAAAATGCTTATTTGTCTTGAATAGGAAAATAACTGAGTTACTTGCTACTGAAGGAAGTTCCTCTAATGATTTGTGTTGCAAAATCAGAGTCACGGAGTTGAAGATGACTCTTTCATGGGTTTAATTTAAAAAAGCTTGCATTGTACATAATAGTGAAATTCTTTGTTATTTAGGCATTGGTACGACAGAATATTTAGTAGATTGAAACCAGAAGATTTAATGATTGACCTGTCATATAAAGGCATTCAGTACTTGTAAAAGCAAAAAACCATTAACATGTGGTATGAAAATTGAAATCATCACATACTCTGCTAAATGGGATGAGAAGAAAAATACCTTTTCCTTTCTTCTTATTGTAAGTATAAAATCTGAATCTTGCGAGTGCTTGAGTATGTGCATCAATGTGTTCCTGACAATATTCTCATCGACTCCAAATAGTATATTCCAAATGATGTATTCAACTATGCCTAAATGATTATTCGTGTGTCAGAGCTCAACCCTGTATACACAGAAGCTGTTAAGTGTATGCTGAGGATTTTGAGTAGGTTTGACAATATATTCTGGAAGTGCTTCAAGATTCTATTTAGTAAAACTGTTACATGTAAAGTGAGTGTCTTTTGGGAGATAGTACTTCATCATTGCAACCAAGTGTTGGGTTTGGTTTTGTTTACTTCCAGTGAGCAAAGGTTCTTAGCAGGTTGAATAAGAGGGACAAGATTT